GCCCCATCCCGTTTTTGAACAGGTAGATGGAATGGATATCCTGTGTGTCCGGGAGGCGACAAGGTTTGCAGCTGCCTATTGTAGATCTGGAAAGGTAAGACTTTCTCTTAGGTCTGTGGGCTAGAGACTTCTAATGATATTTATCTGTCTTAAAGTTAATGCCTCCCGTGTGTCCGTTGTCGCGATTCAGGGGTAGCTGCTAATTGAGGTGTGTAAGACAGGAGCAGAGTCCAGTCCAGAGACTGTGGTCCTGGAGCTCACCTCCTGGGAGACATTCCACCTTGCCCCCATTTGGGGTAAATCTTTTCTTCTCGTGCTTCTTCAGCATTTTGCCTGTCTTCATCATGATCCTTAATCTATTTTGCCTTTTGGTTTGGTTAATCATGTGCCTCCAACTGCTCCACACCCCCCACTAAACATAAACCCCTTGAATGAACAGGTTAAGAACAATGCTCAGCACAGAACTTCTCTTGTATAATAGGCATTTAAGTTTGTTGTCTGTCAATTAAGTATTATGGTTAAAGTATGTAATCTTAGTCTTGCTGTTTTAGTCTTAAGAATCTTGACCTTTCAGTTTTAGAACAGTGAGATTGGCCTAAAAAGAGGCTTACGTGCCATCAGAGCTAGTGAAAGATGTTCTCCCTAAATCAGTGTTCCACAGCCCAGAAAGCATGCCCCTGAGGTTTACCTTTCACTGACTTCCCCTGTGTTTGGGAAGTAATGCCAATAAGATTTGGCTAGCAGTGATGAAAATGGGAGAAAGGGGGTGAAGCAGAGAGGGAAATGGCAAGCAGTGCATGACTAAGATGGCAGGTTGGCGGCAGCAGGCTTAGCAGTCTCCATCAGGACTCCCAAGACTAGAGGTCCAGGCCCTGAGTGGTAGCTATCGTCACCATCTCTCCCAGTTTCTGAAAGAATTTGTGGGATCCAACCCTGCATAGAAATGGGCTCAGTGGTTTATGATGTGTGTCAACTTTCCCAGCCTGAACAAGCCTATCTTAGAATTAGGGGAGGGTCTGGAAACCCCCTTATCACCACTCCCTTAGCCGAACCCACCGTGCTTCCATATGACTACTGGATGGCCTATCAGAAAGAACAGATGATAGTGAGGGATTGACATGGGTCAGTCAACACACTAAGCACTTTTTATGTATTATCTTAGTCTGCATAGCTGAGTGAGGTTGTTACTGTTTTACCTGTTTCGCAGATGAGGAAACTGAGGCACAGAACAGTTAAGAATACATAGCTACTACATATTACAGTCAGGATTGGAAGGCAATCACTTGGACTCCGAGTCCTCCTTTTTAACTACTATACCAAACTACCCAGGGATCCTAGATCCACCCCTCCCCTCACTGCTCACAGTTGTCTCTGGAAGGGGGCTAATGTAGCATGAGCAAGCTACCTGGTGGTGCACAGCCAGGCTGGCCAGGTTCCCAGCAGAGTCGCAGCTTTAAGTATCAGAGCTCCAGTGCCTGCCAACTTGGTTACACACTAGCCAGATGTGTGTGAAGCAGGATTCATGAAATGGGTGTGAGGTGGAAATTCACCTACCCAGCCTATCTTCAGTTCTCCCATCCTTCTATACTTTGCAGCAGACATAGAGGTTTGCTTTTAATCTTATTCTTAGAGATTATATTGTATTTTTCTCTAGTGTTTTAAAAGGATCAGAACACTGGTAGGTCATTTCACCTGTGACTGGGGGAAAAGAGTAGCCTGTTAACCCTGAAGATAAAAGCCATCCCCTCTCCCACTGTCATACCTGTTTTCTAATAGGTTTTTCTTCATTAACTCTGAGGTGTTCAAATGCAATGCTGATGAAATGGACAATTTTTTATTTAACATCACTTGCCTCTATAACATGCTAAATGCCTTTTTGATTCAAAACAACTGCAGCAGGCTGCTTTTATTAAGTTCCTGTTAAAAATCAGAAGAGAAGGATGAGACATGTAATAGCTATTAGAAATGAAAACAGGTAACTTAATTCTTGATAACTCAGCTGATTTAAATATCTTTGATCCCGAAAGGGTCTGCATTTGAGGCTAGGGATTGTTGGTGTGTTATGTCCATTGTCTCACTTAACCTTGGTTTCTGTTTTAGGGGCCCATACTGATGGAGCTGCAGACTTACCGTTACCATGGACACAGCATGAGTGATCCTGGAGTCAGGTATGGTCATGGGAAATCTGAGTGTGCTGTCCAACGCGGGTGGGCTTTGAATGGTGCTACTCACATGAAAAAGCAAAGCATTTCCACATTGACTTTTGAAGCCAGACACCAGCTGACTTCATGCATTGCATTAGCCAAGTAGTTATTTGAGTCTAGCCTGAAAGCAATGCCTCCCAGTACAGTTCCAATATAGAAAGCAGTCTGAAAATCCCTACAATATATAGTGTGTACATGTGAGCATGAGAAAACAATTGCAGAGAGAAATTGTTGCATAAAACAGGCCAGGTAGTAGAGTAGTATATTTGGGGACATTTAGCAGAGGATTGGAATTTGAAAGTGTTCTGACTGACACAGAGTGAGGCTAACTGGCACTTGAGGTATTCAATATGTTGAAATGTTACACTAGGACGATAAGAGTTTTACTTGTCACTTAAGTAACTCTGGCATGTAATACTGCAATCCCGGAGTGTGACACAATTAAAAGAAGTAGATTCAAAGTAAACTATAGTAAGCCTTTGTGTGTAGAATGGAATTCTAAGGGAAAACGTTATAAAGAGCAACTTGTATGGAAAAATAAACAGTGTAATTCTGTTTTCAAAAAATGGTAGAATCCTTGCTTTAGTGTTACATCCTTGTGCTACATCATTGGAAGTATTTTAAGGGAGATAGGAAAGGTACATTTATTTCCTGCTTAGCATACTGATGCCTCAAAGTTTATAGTTACCACCACACAAAAACCAGCTCCACTCTCCCCACACGTGTAAAATGTCAGGAGCTCAAAAGGGTAGGCCAGTTAGCACATAAAGAGGCTCCCCCACTTCCTTCATACCCTTACATCTAGATCAAAGCAGCAACTGAAAACTTGGCCCCTGTGGTCAGAATGCTAGGGAGGCCAGGTGAATTGCCAAGCTAGAGTTTTCTATAAAAGATAGAAGCATTTGGAAGTATAATTCCGCCACTCCCACAGTGACATAGGTATTGACGTGCTCTTTCGTTTCAGAAACGTATTTCACTCTATTAGCCACCAGCCTGGCCCCACGTTGTATTTCAGAGAACTGTCTGTGCTATCCTGGAACTATTCTTAGTTATAACTACGTTTCCCTCCCTGTAGTTATCGTACACGAGAAGAAATTCAGGAAGTAAGAAGTAAGAGTGACCCTATCATGCTTCTCAAGGATAGAATGGTGAACAGCAACCTTGCCAGTGTTGAAGAATTAAAGGTACAGTCATTCTCAGTGGTTTAAAAGTCGAGCTTTAAAGGTTGGCTCTCTTTTCTCAGCAATCAGGTAAAGCTGCCACTCCTGGATGAACTAAGTAAATGGAAACGTATGTATGGTATTACCACAGGACATTAATCAGTCATAGTGGCAAAGTCTATAAACCGCCCCCCCTCCCCCCCGCAGTAGCATAGTTCTTTCTTCCTAAAAATGTACCTTGGATTTTTAATTTATAAATGTTCCCTCGCCAGGGTATGTCTGTTTAAATGTTGAAGTCTGTACTCCAAAATATTCTTGTGTAGATCACTCTGTCATTTATTTAAAAAATAAAATCTTTGAAGCTAGTAGGAACGTTACAGTTATACAACAGGTTCCAAGTAGAACTAGTTGGTACCTAAGCTGCTGTTTGTTCAAAGTCTCTTGAATTGGAATCTGATTTTTAGGAAATTGATGTTGAAGTGAGGAAAGAAATTGAGGATGCCGCCCAGTTTGCCACAGCTGATCCTGAACCACCTTTGGAAGAACTAGGCCATCACATCTACAGCAGTGATCCGCCTTTTGAAGTTCGCGGTGCAAATCAGTGGATCAAGTTTAAGTCCATCAGTTAATGGGTGTCTGCACGTAATGGATGGTTACACCTTCAGTGGGCTGTTCGGCAGCAACTGTAAGGAACTCTTTGTGTTCTCAACTTTGTTCTTGTAAACTTTAAGACTAAATAGTGTGTAGATTGAGATAGTAATTGCATGCAGTGTTGTACAGTGTTGCATTAAAAGAGGTTATTGCACACTTAAGTATTTTATAAAGGTTATTTTAGATTTATATAGGCCCAAAAAAGGAACTACAGAGTTTGTTTAGCCTTACCACAAATTATTTCCTTAAAATAGTTCTATTTGATTTAGTTGTATACTATTTTAACAAATATTCTTTAGTTATACAATTCCTCGTATGCCTGTCCAACACCTTTTGGGGGGGGGGGGTCGTGCCCCTGTCCCTCGCAGTGGCATACTTGCATTACCCAACAGCTAACAGTGTACCCATTAGTGTGCATGTTGGTGCTGGAGCCTGTTCACACTGACCATTGTTTCTCCTTAATAAAACAATATTTATTATAATGAGACAATGGGTGGACGGACAAGTAATAACTTAGTTTTCTCCATTTATACATTCAATATAAATATGAAGCTATTTTCTTAAGAGTTTTCTATTTACATTCGTATCAAACATTAAATATAAGGCATATTCTTCTCTCTTTCAAATTTAAGTGCAGTACCAGTTAATAGTAATGCATAATCCAGAACAGTGATTCCCAGCCTTTTTGTTATTTTTAAACACCCATTGTTTCACCTTTCCAGCAAGTGCTATAGGGTGGACTGATTCTTTTCATTAAAGTAAATTAAAATTCATTTTTAAGAATTCCATAAAACACTCTGGGATGCCAAAACTAAGGTTCACAAATACGGTTCTCACAATGCATACATAAAGGTAAGTTTTACTCACCTTTAAAACATGTTGATAAATAACAGGGTACAAAAAAACCGCATCTCAGTAAGGATGGTCTTTAAAACTTCAAGTTCTTGAATTGTTCATTGAACACTGGTGTTTTCCTTGTGTAAACTCAGAATTCGTGTGTATGTTAACAAAGGTGTTGGCTCTTTGCTCCCTCTGTCCCCCGGCTTAGTGGACTGATTAAGCTTCATCTTGGGTTGCTGGGGACCCCTGAGCCCCTCTTCTGTACTGGGAGACTGCAGTCCAGAGCCTGCAGAGGAGACCACCACTACGAGACAAGAGTCTTCTTTAGAGTCATAAGAAAAGATCACTTCAGAGCAACACCACAAAATACTTCTTTAGGAGCCCTTACGGCAAAAGCTATAGTATATAATTCTAGATTGGCTGTCTAGTCTTAAGTTTTTTTTTTAAGTAAAAATATGTTCCCTCCGCATATGACACTTGTGCCCCAGTAGGAGTAGGACACGGCCTTAGAGGCTGGTGGATGACACGGGAAGGAGAATGCAGGTTGCCATGTGGGTATAGCATGCTGGCATCTCGTGCGTGTCCTCACTGCGCTCTCAGCCAGCCACAGAGAGCAGAAGGCTCTTCCGTTTCCCCTTCCTACTGCTCTCTGACTTTTCCTACCTGGCCTTCAGCTTCTGCCACTTCTCAGCTTTTTCCCAACTTCAGCCTGGGAAAACTCGAGTGTGGAGTGACTTTGGGTAGTTTGTTTTGTTTTCTGACTAAGCCACAGGAAAGAGAATTCATTTCAATGAAGGGGTAAAGTTACCAGCACTTTGTTTCCTACTGCTTTATTTAAAAGCCTAATCGCACGGGAAAAAGTCACTATCTATTACTGTTTTGAGACTATTCTTACCGTAGTCTAAGGTATCTAAGATCCTCCTTAGTGATGTCATTCAGAATATCAGAAAGTGTATAACCCTCTTCAACAATCTGAAACAGAGATCAAATATGTAAGAGCCAATAGCATAGGAATAATCGCATAGGAGTGGTTTTTGGTTATAAAGTTACCTTTTCAATTGTATTCGCATCCGCTCCTTGCAGCTGCAGCCAGTCTACAAGCTCTTTATCTGTTCTCTGCCCAGAGGACCCAGGAGGGGATGCTGAGGTCTCTGTAATATCTGTAATGATCAGAAATTCGTTTTGTTGCATATTAATCTGTAACAGTAAAACTCCTCAAAACTAACAAGTTGATGAAATAAACTATTCCAGAATGTAAATGTGAAGAGGAAATGAATTAAACCTGTCTCAGCTGCTCGAATACACATTGCACAACAATCCATAGTTCTTGGATTCACTTTCCAGAGATTAAAATAATCCTTACCTATGATAGCTTTAGTTAGTTTGAAATTTGATATATTTGTCTACCATTTTAAATGCTTATTCCCTAGTCTTTAAAATGACTTTTCTTAGGAATCACATCCCTGACTGCATTGGAAATCAAAAGGATGAAATAGGCTTTAGTGGTGAGATTTTTGTGTCAGAGCTTATCCATTCTGCATTCCAAGAGGCAGCTGTAGCCCTTTTGTAAATGGCACAAAAGGAATAAGGCAGGTTTACAATTTATGCAGTTAGACCAGCCTTTTTAGGTATGCAGCGCTAGGAACTTTGACAAGCACAGTCAAGGAACCCACCGCTACAGTCAAGATACCGAAATTTCCATCACCCCAAAAAGTTCTTGTGGCCTGTTACAATCAATCCCCTCCCCATTCCGATTTGGGTTTTGTCTCCATAGTTTGGTCTCGTGTAGGTATTCTATATGTATGTAGCCTTTTGAATCTTTCACTTAGCATAATGCATTTGCGATTCTTCTGTGTTGAATGTACCAGTAGTTCCTTTTTATTAACGATTAGTAGTCCAGATACCAGAGTACTTCCTGGTTTAAAAGAGAATAACCTCAACTGTGTCAAGGCTGAGAGAACATTACCCAGATTTTTTTTCCTTTTTCTCCCCAAAGCCCCCCAGTATATAGTTGTACATTATAGTTGTAGGTCCCCCTGGCTGTAGCTGTGTGGCACGCCACCTCAGCATGGCTTGATGAGTGGTGCCAGGTCCGCACCCAGGATCCAAACCAGCGAAACCCTGGGCTGCTGAAGCAGAGCATGCGAACTTAACCACCTGGCCACAGGGCTGGGCCCCTAGCCAGATTTTAAATGCTCTCACACACATTTAAGTCAGAGCAAGTGGAAAATGACTCACCGTTAGATTTGAATTGTAACTGAAGGTGATACAATTCTTGAGTTTTCTGTTCTAGTGTTTGCCGTAGAAGGTTCTGGTACTCTCTCTCTTTTTGAACTAGGTGTTCCAAAAGTCTGGTTAAAAAAAAAAAAGCCATCGTGTAGAGAGAGCCTAACACCATTCAATTCAACTCAAACATTTGTCGAACATTAGAGGTTGAAAAAACAGCACAATCCCTATGGACAGTCTAGTGAGGGAAGCAACAGTGTTGTTCCTCCCGAGTTTGGCGATCAGGTTGTAGGCTGTACGTGGGCACCTTCCTGGTGGTGCTTCCCCTTGAAAACAGACCAGTCCTCAGGGCATGGGTATATTGTCTCAAAACGGATCACCAACCATAAAGCCAACCTGATGGTGATCAGTGACTCAACCAGAAGGATGCTCTGATAATTTCAGCTTGTTCCTTAAGTCTGATCAAATTGCTGAGACTAGTGGTCAGGCTCTTTCCTCCTCACAGGACTAAGCCAAGGAGTCCTGAAGCCCTGCTCCTGATGGAACAGCTGGGGGAGAGGAAGGATGGCGAGAAAGGTGCACTGCTCTGAAGGTGGGAGGAATATGACTGCGAACATTTACAGAACCCAGGACTGTGCTAAATGCCTCACAGGAATTGAGGCATTTAAACCTTACAGCGCTTTGAGGAAGTAAGCACCATTTTTTCAGTCCTAGTTTTATAGCTGAGATAACTGAGGCACAGAGAAGTTAAGTAATTTGCTTAGAGTCACACAGGCTGGGCTCTTCCCATCAGGGCAGTCTCCTGACTCCCAGTCTTGTCCATGGCCCTCCCCAGGACAAGACACGACTGGGCACAGCCAAGCCTCAAACATCGGAGTCCCCTCGCCTCCGGGTGCCACCTCAGGGTGCACACATGCACGAGGGGAAGGGGCTGGCAGACTGGAGCCTTTTCTAGCATTTTTCTTTGCTCATGTACCTAGTACATGGGATTCCTTTGTTTCTAACTGCATGTTCTTTTTAATTAATTTCAATGATTCACGCTGGTGAACTAGAGAATATGGAACTGAGCTGTATTTACATTACTGAAGTTGAATATCGCAGAACAGGGCAGCAAGTAAGAGAACACAGGCGCTCCGTGGGTAATCTGGTGGCCAGATGGGACGGGGAGAGGTGGACACTTCTGCCCCCAGTGGGACAGCAAAGAAGACTGGTGCTCAATATGCAAATCCTTCTCACCCTCCCTCTGCCTGCCTTCATCAACAAGTCTTTTCACACCAGTGAAGATGATTCTACCCACTCCAACTATGGCACTCGTGTGTGCTCACCCACACCAGAGGACCGACTCAAACTGGCTCCAACTGAGTTCTTCGGAAAGGGCTCTTGGGACTGGCACTGAGCGGGACAGAAGTTACCCCAGTCAGCATCACTCTGGGCGGTAGGTACCATCCTTCTTTGGCTCTGTCCAGCCACAGCTAAGGCATCTCCACACCACAAGGACAGGCGCGCCAGGTAGGAACTGCATGTTTGTCAGCCATTTGCAGCTGGTGCTGGCTGCCATTTAATTACTAGTTCTACTGAGGTTGGAAGATAACAGAATGACTGTCAACAGTGGAGAGGGATAACCTTTGAACCCAGATATAACATTTTATGAATTTGGTGATTACCAACCTTACCAGAAAAACATTTTAAAGAGATGCTAAGTATTACTATCAACTTTCACATTTGTCAGATTTTTAAAACTTGAAAAATTTTGCGACCACTACTGGTTAGTTAAGACTCCAGGTCTTTCTAAAAAGAAATGATTAGATCTGCCTAAGACTAAACTTCACAGATCCCCAGGGGTGTATACAACTTTTCATTCAAAGTACGTCCACCTGGCACCTTATCTCCCTTTGTTAAGTATTAATCTGCATTACCAATGACCATATGGCAGCAAGGCATCATTTGGAACCAGTACCAACTAGTTTACTAAAGCTGTGGGTTATATCTTTTATAAGCCCATTGATAATGGGATTCCCCAGAACAAATGGGAATCATTTTATTCATTTACCAAATATGTTTTGAGCGCCTACTATGGGCCAGGAAGGGAACAAAACAGACCAGCCCTCTTGGGGGACTCTGACGGCAGTGTCAGTGCCTCCTGGCTGGGAAGGCAGTCCACAAATGCCTGCCTGTGATTGTGACAAATCACAAGGAGGTTCAAAGAGGAGAGGGCAAACTTCCTTGGGGTCAGGGTTATGGGATACATGTCCATGGACAAAGTGCTAACGAGCCCCACAGCTCAGCTACTGCAGGGGCAGGCTGCAGACATCCACTGCTCAGCCTGCTGGACCCACACACCATGCCAGGGCCCCCATCTTGGTGAAGAGACGCAGAGAAAGAACTCCGAGATGCTGCTGCCTTTAGTATGGCTGGTTTCTGTGTGGCCTACGGCCAGGCACTATACCTCTCTGACTCCTAATATTAGAGAGAGGGAGGCATTCTTCTAGTCCCCCGGTTGAAGCTGATAGTAGCCCCTTGCCCAGCTCCTTGGTGGTGAAGATGCTTTTCTGAGACCTGAGTGAGGCGCTCAGCAACTAAACCGATTGCTTTGCTGGTCCAGGTCGTTGTCCCACCCCTGCTCACCTGTTGGTCTCCTGCCTGAGCTTGCCCAGCTGGAGGCTCAGATGCTGCTGGTGGAGCTGCTGGGGCTGGGCCTCCTGGACAACCACCGAAGCGGGTCTGCTCCCTCCGTATGCTATCTGCGCCTCGCTTGCGGGCGGGTCTGTTGGGGGATAGTCCTCTTCCACCTCGTCCGTGTCCTTATCCACCCCTTCAGTCTCTGAGGCAGGCTCAAAGTGTGCTCGGAGCTCTGCGACATCACAGAAGAAAGGATCTGGTTCAACAAGGCCAGGGCTTGGTGTAGCTGATGTCCTGTGCCAGCCAACGAGGCTGCTCCAAGGCTGGCCCAGCCAATGCAACGGTCCCTCGGGACTGCTGTCTACAAATGGAGGGACTATTTCCCTCAGCGCTCTATAGTGAAGAGATGATCGCCCCAGTTTACAGATGAGGAAACGGGGTCTTAAAGATGTTAAGGTAGTTAGCCAAAGCCAGTTTTAAAAAGGTACAGCTAGGCTTCCACCCAGGCCTGTGTTCTCTTACTACTGAAAGTTGGCTGCTTGGAGTGGGGAGTAATGAGGTCCTGGGGTGTAACAAGCCTCTCCCGGAAGGAAGCTGAGCCTGGGCCCACGCATTCAGGGGAGCAGGCAGATGGACGGGGAGGGAGCAAAGTAAAGAGGAAGTGGCACTGTCAACGGAAGCGTTGCAAAGCCTCCCTCCATAGGAAGAAATCGCCACAGAAGGAGAATCAACTTGGGTATTAAGCTACTCTAACATTTCAAAAATAGAGTCAACAAAAACCAAAGATTTCTATAGCTGCCACGTGATGATTCTGAGACAGGAGACCGAGCCGTTAAATCATCAACCCACCAGCAGATGTTCCTGAGCACACAAGAGCATGCACTGTAGGATCCCGGCCCTCCGGCTCGGCGCTCTCTGTTGAGATCATGACTTTGGTCTACGGGCAGTCTCCTCGGTTATGCCCAGGGGCGCGCAAAGACAGCTCAAAGAGAACTTAGCATCACAGAATCTTAGCCCCAGAAGGGGTGTGTGACACATTACTTAATTGCAGGGAAGTTTATAGCCAAGGTGGAAAAGAGAAAGCAACCACTGAGTGCAGAGGACGTTTCTGATCTCTTCCATGACCTTGACCAAAAAGAGGGCACTCACCTGGCATGAGAATGGTGACTGCGGCCTGCACCGCTCGACGGATGATGTTGTCCATGGCAAACATCCAGTGGGGCCTAATTAAATGGTTTCTCAAAATTTTATTTACCTACAAATCACAAAAAATACAGATTTCTGGTCCGTTGTACTTTTATGAAATACAAGTTCTTACCAATTCTAATTTGTTTCTACTCTGAGACGAAGTTTTAACCAGGCTGCCCTGGATTCCAACCCAACTTAAGTTTCTTCTGACTGAGTCTTTCTCCAAGCTGCCCTTAAGTCATGCTGGGGTCTAGGGGACGGGTGCAGTGATTGGATCCACCTCACCGGGCCTCTTCATTGTTTATGCCACGAGCATTTATTGAGCACCTATGAAACCTCAGGCTCTGTGTTGGGGGCCAGGAACACAAAGATGAACCAGACATGGTCTTGGGCCTGGAGCGGTTCACTTCTGTTTGGGCAGACACATAAGCTTAAACCTCATGCCTCTTCAGCTAGCAGATATCTCTTGTTCCCAAATCCTATACTTCTGTTCTTTGTGGCCAAATACAGTTGGCCTGTTCACCTCTACTTGCATATTCAGTGTTTAGAAAACTGCTGAAACTCGGGATTCAGTTGTAAACAGGTAAGAAGAGATGGGAACTATGGGAGAAGATGGTAATCGAGCTCCATGGTCTTGACTATGTGCCACTTCAGTGGGCCTCCTACCTTCTGGCATGTTCTATAGGGCCAGATGAAATACTTACAGCATCCTGAAATCCAAACAGTGCCAGGTGAATCTGATTGATGGACGAGCTGTCAAAGTCCAGATCCACCTTTAGTTTTGATATAGTGGATGCCATCACCCTGTGCTCTGGGGAGCGGATGAAGTCCCTCAGGATCCCAATTATTTGCTTGATGTGGCCGACTGAGAGATGCAACTCTTCAGAACCCTGACCACCAAAAAAAAAAAATCACTTTCATTAAGTGAGAGGAAAGCAAAATTCAAGGAGTATTGTGAGGAAACTGTATTAACCAGATTGTCCATTGATCCATTTGCTGATGGAACTGTGGACTCCCTGGGTGACAAGGGGTCTCTGTCCCCAGAATCCCCTCCATCTTTCCTGTTAGCGGGTTAGACGGCCCCCTCTCCTCCCTGGCCCGCACACACACACCTAAGCCCCTCTAGGAATGGTTCTGCCTCCCTGTAACCCCTTGAAGGCCTGCCTTGAACCGGGCTTTGTCAGAAGGCATGGTTCATAGTGGGGCAGTGGCCTCTTCCTAAAAGGACCTTTCCCCATCCAAAATAAGTTAAAAGTCAAATATTTTCATCCATAGCCTTTCTCCCTAAAGTAGCTGTTTTCCCAGCTTCTGAGGCAACTGTAGTGTGGCCTACAGCTCAGCTCCGGGGCTCGAAATGGGGATAATGAGAGAAGAGGGCAAAGGCTAGGAGCCCCGGGCTTTCTGCTGCCATTTGGCTTGTTTTCCTCCAGGGGGCAGCATCGCCCCATCAGTGCCTGGATTCGCCGCAGTGCTCCGCAAATTGGTTTCAGGGGAGCTTTTTTTCCTTTGTATTTTCTTTTGTTTTGTTGGAGGAGGGAAGGACGTTGGGAAATACTTATGGTGATTATTGGAATTGTGCAAATGTTCCAAGGTAGCAGGAACCTTGGTCCCCGTTTGGACCTGTTCCGGGACCTGGACGCGGGCCGGGGGGCAATTAGCAAGGGTCCTCTGCCTCCCCCCGCCCCGCGTGTACCTGGGCCACACACTCCAGCAGGTTGGAGGCCACCTGGTTCTGCTCCTCCCAGAGGATTCTGTACAGGATGGCGCGGCGCTCGCTGTCCTTGCGCAGCAGGAAGAGACCCGGGTCCCTGTCCTCTGGGGATGAGGCTGCGCTCCGGTCTTCCAAGACCGAGCTCTCATCCGGAACACTGGTGGACAAACACACGGACAATCCCTGTGCGTCCTGGAGTAAAGTCTCCACGCTAGGACACCGTGGGAGAGGGGTTCAGAGGTGAATCCTCTGCAGTCCCCACCTCAAGAAGGTGCAATTGCAGGAGGTGGGCAGATGGAAGAGAGGTGCGGCATTTCTTCTAACCCCCACAGCACCAGTGCTGAGAGAGGGAGGGAAAAGAGGAAGAAGGGAAGAGGGTGGGAGATGGGGAAGGGAGGGAGGGAGCCAGGACAGCGAGTGAACACACTGCGCCCCTCCCTCGGACTGCTGGCTGCCTGGTTGCCCTACTGACCATGCAGAAAGGAAGCAAAAGACCTGCACGGCCAGCTGGTTTTGACCTGGGAGGTATTTTGCTCCCTGGGGACATAAGTGCCCCTCGAAGGCCCACAGTAGGTGAACGAGGTGGGCTGTACCTGAGCAGGTGGCTGAGCTGGTGCTTGGCCGCCCGGCCTTTCTCGAAGAACGTGTCGGACTGGGCGTCGGAGTCGGGAGAGACAGAGCCATGCTCACTGCTGCTGCTGCTGCTGCCCACGGGCTCCCCCAACATGGGCAGGGCCAGGGTAGCACCCCGGGCACCCTCTGTGTGGGGGCAGACAGGCAGGGTAGGTTCAGAGAGGAAGGATGTTGCGGGGGAGGAAGCTGAGGCTTGCCAACCCCTCAGGCCAGGTGACCCGCACAGGGGCTTGCTAAGCCCATGCTGCTCTACGAACACCGAGGGATGGCGGTGAAATGTAGCTTCTGCTTCAGCAGATCTGGGGTGGGCCTGTGACTCTGCATTTCTAACCAGCCCGCACAACATGGTGATGCAACTAGTCACACTCTGGGAGCAAGATGCTGAGCAGCTCTGGCCCGCCTTCGGACCCCACGCACGGCAGGGAAAAGAGAACTAATGGCTTCCTCTTCTGAGGCCACTCTCATGTCCTTGCTGGTTAAGACTTACTGCCCTAGAAAGGGTCCTTTGGTTTCAGTGGCCTGCTGGACAGCCGCCACAGGCTAATTCCTCTGACATGCCCTTTAATCAAGGTCAGGAGCAGCACAGGGGGACAGGCCAGGCTCCAAAAATGAAGTACCAGGCCCTGCATGTGGGGAAGACACAAAACCCCGGCCAGGGCACCTCTCGCCTCCCTCCTTGGCACAATCCCAAAGGAAAGACTTTAACAAGGAGTGGGAGCATCACAGTCACCCATGAGGCTTCCTGTGCCTCTGTCAGGAAATCAAGGGACAGTCACTGGTTGAGTTTTGACAACCCCCACACTTGCTGCACCAATCCCTGCCACTGGTCACAAAAATGGGTGCCGTGTGGGCACCGGCACTCTATCTGAGCAACAGAGAAGCCCGGGGCCCAGGGCACGGCCCCAGCTCTCCAGGTAGGCCTCACCTGGTGGCTTGAAAGCAATTCGGTTCTTCTTGCCCTTGTGCACCTGCCGTAAGAAACCCTCTTTGAGCAGGTCAGTGGCAGTGACACGTTTGTGGGGGTCAGGCTCAAAACAGGATAAAATGAAGGCTCTGGCTTCAGCTGAAAGGGCTTCTGGAATCTCAGGGTGGATCTTAAACATCCCCACCTGCATTTGAGGGAGAGGCAACAGATGTGACAGTGAGGCCTCAGGCAAATCCAGGTGTGCATGCCTTCACTACAGAGCTCCTACACCTGCCACCCTAGGAGGGGCTGGCGATGGACTGGAACAGCAGCCTCCATGACTCGCACCTGTGTCCACGCCCCTGGCTGGCCTCTTGGGACCTTGCTTTGCCCAACAGATTGTGGGAGAAGTGTTTCAGAGCATATGCCTTAAGAGGCCTCCCACAGGGGCCGGCTCAGTGGCCGACTGGTTAAGTTCGCGGGCTCCGCTGCGGCAGCCCAGGGTTCAGATCCCGGGTGCGGACATGGCACCGCTCGTCAGGCCACGTTGAGGCGGCGTCCCACATCCCACAACTAGAAGGACCTGCAACTAAGATATGCAACTGTGTACAAGGGGGAGTTTGGGGAGATAAAGCAGGAAAAAAAAAAAAAGATTGGCAACAGTTGTTAACCCAGGTGCCAATCTTAAAGAAAAAAAAAAAAGAGGCCTTCCGCTTCTGCTCTAGCACTCTTGGGAGCCCTGAGACCACCATGCAGGGAGGATGCCAAGGATGAAGGGCCACATGGGAGAAGCCCTCCATGAGCATGCTGCCTCAGCCAAGACGCCACTTGGACGCAGTGACACAAGTGAGCCCGGGCAAGACCACCAGAAGAGCCAACGGTCTTCTTCCCACAGAATTGAGAGAAAAGCGCTTGCTTTAAGTCTCTCACGTGTCGGGGTGGTTTGTTATGCAGCAGGATGCTCTGAGGGTGTTGAAAGGCATCTGCGGCCTGTTCGTTGATACACAGGGTCCCCAAAAGACGCTACATACATCTCTCAGTCTCTGTGCAGTCACAGCCCAAATCCCCCACCGCCCAGCTGTAAATGCCATGCAGACCACACCTGGAGGCTGGTCCCTTGTGGCCCATGCCCTCATCCCCGTGGGGTAAAACTGGCTGAGGAAGGGGGCACTGCCCTTTCCCGTGCGGGCTCCTGCTACAATTTCTGCTCCAGCTCATCAGTGTCCTGCTAAAGGCTCTCTGTCCCTGTGACCTATAGGGGAGCAGGAGGTGGGGCTGAGTTGTCACATCTGTGACATGGCAATGCTTCCACAAGTCCTCCTCATCCATCCTGCAGACCGCCTCCTGCCTAACTGTTCCCATGGAGATGGCTCTCTACTCGCCTTCAGAGTCATCATCTTAAAGTCCGCAGTCTTCCCTGTGTCTTTCCCAAGCCCACCTAATAAACCAGGGGTGGAAGCCATCTGTCTTCCAGATCCGCCCCACTCCTAGCTCCTCGGCAACCCTGGGGGCTGGCGTGGCCTTCCTTACCCGCCGAGCAAGATCTGGGTGCTGCAGGGAGCAAACCGCAAGCCTTCCCACTTCGCACCCCGAAGTCCTTTGACCCGGGCTGTGCTTACCATTCCTGATGCTGCTCCTTGTGGGCAGGACGACAGCTTGAGAGCTTTGGATTGAGGGGAGGGAGGGTTGGGGGGTAACTACTCAACAGGCATAAGGTTTCAGTGAAACAAGATGAGTACGTTTGAGAGACCTGCTGTACAACACTGCCTGGAGCCAGCAATACTACACTGTGCACTTAAAAATTTGTTAAGAGGGCAGATCTCGCTAAGCGTCCTTACCACAGTAAAATAAAACTTTAAAATATGAGTTTGGGGGGCTGGCCCCGTGGCCGAGTGGTTAAGTCTGTGCGCTCCGCTGCAGGCGGCCCAGTGTTTCGTTGGTTCGAATCCTGGGCACGGACATGGCACTACTCATCAAACCACGCTGAGGCAGCGTCCCACATGCTACAACTGGAAGGACCCACAACGAAGAATATACAACTATGTACTGGGGGGCTTTGGGGAGAAAAAGGAAAAAATAAAAAAAAATCTTTAATAAAATATGAGTTTGGGATTTTGAGAACACTAAAAGCTGGACAGAATCCAAGCCCCAAGATCTGAAACGCTGGGCACCTTGCAGGTGGCACCCCTCACCTGAGGGTGGGGAGGTAAGGGCACTAGGGGAGCCCGAGACAAAAATTCAGGACAAGAACTCAAAGGGTGGCTTCTCCCCTGGTACCCCGGCACCCTGCAAGTACATTACTTATAAGGGTGCTTTGCTGTTACTCAACTGGTCCCTGTATTAGTTTCCCAGGGCTGCTGTAACAAAGTACCACAAACTGCATGGCTTTAAACACCAGAAATCATATTCTCACAGTTGTGGAGGCAGGAAGCCCAAAATCAAGGTGGCAGCAGGGCCGTGCTCCCTCTGTGAGCCGGAGGGGAGTCTTCCCGTGCCTCTCCCTAGCTTCTCATGGTTGCCGTCAGTCTTTGGCAGTTTGTAGATGCATCGCTCCAATTTCTGCCTGTACATGGCATTCTCCTTGTGTCTCTTCACGTTGTCTGCTCTCTGTGTCTGTCTCTGTGTCCAAATTTCCCCTTTTTATAAGGACACCAGCCATACCGGATTAGGCCCACCCTACCGATCCCATCTTAACTTGATTAGCTCTGTAAAGACCCTATTTCCAAATAACATCCCGTTCTGAGGTACTAGGGGTTAGGACTTCAAGACATCTTTTTTTAGGGGACACAAACCCGTAACAGTCCCTTTGGAGGAAAAACAGTTCCTTTTGTTTCAGACACTGCCCAGAAATTTCTTAAAATTTTTCTGAAGGATTCTAGAGATCCCAGAAATAATTTCTACAGTCTTTGCAAAGAGAACACAGGGGACATTATTTAATAATAGCTTTCTAGTTTGCAATAAAAATGGATTTTACATGCCATCCGCAAAGCTCAATATATTTGCAAAGAATCTGTATAGCTAATTAGCTAACCAGAAACGAAGGAAGGGAGGGGGGAGTCGCTGGGGCCCTGTGGATGAGCTGAGAAAGTCACAGCCTCCAGACAGCTTTCCTGAGCGGTGCAGGAAGCTGGCAGCCGATCAGAAAGTAGAGAGCCATGGCTCTCAGGTGGGCCCTGGTGTTCTTCTCAGCATCAGCTCGTATTGATTCCGAGGCTGTGCCTGAGCTCAGGAAAGATCGTCAGCGGCCCCAGTCGGCCCCATCACGGATAGATGTTGGAGGGCGGGGGAAGGTCGTTGCTGTCCTCCAGGCCTGGTGTTCAGGGTCTTGTTGGGATTGCAGGTGCCAGGAGACACTTGTCGACTTGAGGTCTTGGCTTTGGAGCTGCCTGACAGCTGCTGGGAGGGTGGGAAGCTCTGAGAACCTTCTGCAGAGGCCAAGCTGGAGAGAGCAGCCAAGGCACCCCCAGCACAGAGCACTGAGAGCCCACTCAGCAGGCTGCATGCAGCTCACAGGCAGAAACCCGCACTCATGCCTTTGAGTCCTTTCTGCCGAAGAGGCTGAGCTGGAGGGCCTGACAAAGATGCAGGCAGCAAGGCTGCAGGGCAGACAGCCTGAGAGGCCGCCTGTCTAGCAGAGAAGCAGCAAGAAAGGCCTCTGGAATCATATTCCCTCAGGCTGCTTTGATGCACTGTGACCTCATTGTCCATAAGCAGTGGCCACTTAGCCTTTTGCGACCCCCACTCTCTCCCTTCTTAGCCTTGGGGTGAACAAAAACGCTCCATGGAAGGTCAGTGCTGGTAATGGACTCAGGGCTACAGCCCCTCTTAAACTTTTCCAAGCGTACACGGAGCCCCAGGCCACAGACCTGACCTTGGGACCCCCATGGCTGTCCTGGCATCAGCTTCCCATGAGGTCACGAGCAAGCATATTCCTTCCCAAGGGGGCATGCCCAGCGGTGAGGGTTTTCAGATTGACAAAGGCAATCTTATCTGATATCCAAAGTCCTACCTCTCCAAACCCAGTCAGAGACCTGCCCTCCAAAGACACAGCCCCCCACGGCCTTCGAGCCTTACCTAGGGGAAGGGCAGACACAGATTCAAAATAAAGAGGTTCCCTGTTGAAAATAAGGAAAGAGACAGCTGCTCTTTTCTTAGAGCATTTACTTTAGAAAACATGTAATTATAAGTTCTTTGTCTCTTTGAGATGTATGTAAATCTGTGCAAAAGCGAAATAAGCCTCTAGCCAGGAACTCTTTCTCAAGGACCTGGGGGCCATCTCTTTGAAATGGCATCAAGGAAGCGAGGACCGGCCACTATGTCCCAGTTTCTGCAGGAAGGTAGGGGCCTAAGTTCAGTGGTGCCTCGTTCCAAAACTTCCTCCTGCCTTAAAGCTTTGAGAAGTTTATTTTTCTTTTGGGTAAAGCCAACTGGCCAATGCAAATGGTCGCCCAGGTGAACGGTGGATGAACTATTGTGACCAAAGGTGCTGTCCAGTCCACGCACCTGAGGACTAGTTAGCGTTTCTCTTGAGAACATGGATGGAAAGGGTTGTAGTGCTTGGCTTGATAAAAGGATGAGAGTTCTTTCTGTCTTTGCAACCTCTTAGCAGATTGCCTATGACACATATCACATTCTGATTTAATGCTTATTCGATAATAAAACTATTTTCTTTTTCTTCCACCTTTGTGGAGAGATTTCTGGATTGGGAGGAGATTTTGTTTTTACTTATATTTCCCCAACACCAGCAACCTAAATCACCAAACATGTCTTACTTTGAACATTGCTGCCTGCGGTTCACCGAGCTCATGGAACGGAGGCCTGCTGGTGGCCATCTCAATGATGGTACAGCCCAGGGACCAGATATCAGCTGGGGCACCATATCCGCGAGGTCCTTGATCAATAATCTCAGGCGCCATGTACTGCAGAGTGCCTATTGGAAAAAAATAAAACAAAGATTGTGGGCACCATATTGCTTAAAATCTAAGTGGAACATTAGTAAACAAACGTGAACTTTAATGCTCTCATTAATGACAAGATGGAGCCTGGTTTCACACATAAACGATATGGTTGCATCTTTTCTTTGACCAGAGACATGCAACATGCCTTCCTTTAATGCTTAGTCGTTTTGAGAGAGGATTGCTCAGCCCCTTGAAGGATAAATGGGCCCAATTCAATTCAGTCACCGCATATTAGCATACATCAGATCCAGGGAAACCAGAATGCAAGAAACACAGTGCCTGAGCTTTCGGAGCTGCCTAGTGGAGGAGATGGACATACTGATGATGGTGGTGGCAGCAGCAATGGTAAAACGTAGTAAGGGCTATGTCAGAGGTGTACACAAAGGGCTCCGAGAACATGGATGGAGAAGTGCTTGCTTCTGCCTGGTTCAAGTCAGGGAAAGCTATAGCTGGGTCAATTTGGGTCTCTGGGAAGTAAATTCCAAGACAGGATTAGACATACGAAAGATTATTGGAGGGTGTATGAAGCATAAAGGGGGAGGGAGCTGGATGTGCAGGGAGAGCTGTCAGACTGCAATGCAGGTCTGACACCTGGGAAACAAGGGGAGGAAGGAAGAATTGGGTAGGAAGAGTCTCAGACGGCGGAGCAGCTCTGAGACAGCTTGAGCCAGGCCACTGGGGAGCCCCTGACCCAAAGTTGCCCACTGGAAGAGTCTCACATTGGTTCTAGTACCCCCACCATACTCAGTCACTATATGGGACTGCCAGTGAACTAGACTCCTACCTCCACGGTTGAAGAGGTGGACAAAGGGATGGGAGGACATCCAGACAGGCGAAGAGCTTGAGCAAAAGCCTATAGGTGTGAAGCACAGGGTGAGTTTTGGGAACCACAAGTGATGTTTGACACAGGGCAGGGAATTAAGAATAATTAAGGAAGCAGTGGCCAGGGCGCAGCCCAAACGGCAAACTGTGTGTTCCAGAGGCTCTGGCTTTGGGCTTTCTCCTCTGGGTCACGAACCACCAGAGGTCGCCACAGGGAAGGTGGTGATCAGCTATAGCACTGGGAGGAGAAGAGCTTGTGGAAGGATTCTTGGAGAGCTAGGCAGGGAGGGCTATCAAGGGCTCTGGGAGTAAAATCTTTGGTTTTCTTTGAAACTAAGCCTGAAGAAAGGGGAAATGTGGAAGCAACAACAGCAGGTGCTATGTGCTGGCAAAGAGGTTTATAATAAACAATGAACTCAGAGATGACATCGGCAAGGCATGAGCAGAGAACACTGATGCCCAGAGAAATTCAAGTGCTCGTCTCAAGATCACACAACCAAAGCAAGTTTCCTGAGTCTTGAGCAATGAAACAAAGGGCTCATTGGTTAAAAAATAGTTTCAAGAAGCTACCTACTACATCCTCCTCTTGAAGATCCAATGTCTTATTACCATTTTTCCTTCCTACGAGCATTTGAAAGGCTTTAGGACAGCTTTAACCAATAGAATGTTCTGCAATAATGGAAATGTTCCATTCTGTGCAGTTCAATACGGTAGCCACTAGCCACATATGACTGTTGAGGCCTTGAAATGTGGCTGCTGAGACTGAAGAAATGAATTTTAATTAAAAATCTTTTGAACTTTATTTATTTCTTACTAACTTCATGTTAAATATAAATTGAGTTGGATCAGTAGGCACAACAGATCAGTGGGGCAGAAATGATGGCTTTGGTCTCCTGATCTGAAAGCCTGGTTGGAAAGTGTTCAGTTGGCTGCAGGGTTAGGGAAGATGGAGGCTCACAGCACTTGTTGCTTTGTTAGGAAATCCCAGAGCCCCAGGAAGGGAACTTACAGTGACACAATATCCCCTCCAGGCCCCTACTGCTGTGAATAACAGAAGGAGAGGCCTTGGCAGGGAACGTACCTTCTAACTAATCTATAATTCATTAATTAAGGAAAGATGACACAGTGCTGTTTATTAAGCTATTATCCCTCAGCTCTGCTGTGACACTGGGTCTGGGACTCTGCAAAACCATATTTCTGCTTTGTCTGCTGCTCCCTGTTGGGGGGGGGGAGGGGGGCGCGCGGAGAGTGAGAGAGAGAGCGTGCAAGCAAGCGAGCGCACACCTGGAAGGAAAGAGGAAGGAGAGGTTACTTCTCCTCCCAGTTTGCTCACTGTTGCTCTGAGCAAGCTTCACTTTGGACCCTTGGTTGGTCCAGTAGCAGAGGTCAGCTCCAGTTCCTCGTTTTTTTGTCCACCCCCCCATACTTCTAGAACCCGCTTCATCTTGCCCACCCAGAGTTACCTGCCCCAGCCCAGTGGCACGGCATCCCCTCCCGAAAGGTTCAAATCCCACCCTTCCCTGTGCTGCCCCAGCCCCAGGGATGTAGGCTGCTTGCTGATAACTCAGTCCCAGGAACCAGTTCTTTCTAGTAAATTCTCTCTGTAAAAATAACTGGGGTGATTTCAATTTTCCTGCCTGGATCCGTTGAACACCGTCACTAAAAGCTCATTCTTAAAAGAACAAGGGGATAAACTGTTGCAAAGTTATGCAACAGTAGAAAACAGTACTAAACCAAACTGCAATGGCTTAATGACCCTGGTCGAATAACTGTCCACCTTAGTACAACTGTTCACAACTGGAGGATAAGTCTGCCTAAGGCTCGGCTTGGAGATTTTCTTTATAAGGAACCATAGTGAACACCCCCCTATCTAAAGGGAGGGACTCAGTGACATCTATATTAGTTATTTATTGCTATGTAAGAAATTACCGCAAACGTTAGCAGCTTAAAACAACAGTTATGATCTCACCCAGTTGCTAAGGGTCAGAATCCAGGAACAGCTGGGCTGGGTGGATCTGGCCCAGAGTCTCTCATCAGGCTGCAGCTGAGGTGTCGACTGGAGCTGCAGTCATCTGAAAGCTAGGCTGGGGCTGGAGGACCCACTACCAAGCTCATGTGGGCATTAGGAAGAGGTTTCAGTTTCTCACCATGTAGGATCCTCCATGGCTTCTCCCAGAGCAAACAATCCAAAGAAAGTGAGCAAGAGGGAGGCCACACTGCCTTTTCTGAGCTAGCCTCCATGTCGCACACCACCACTCTGCCTTAATCTATTCATTAGAAGTGAGTCACTAAGTCCAGCCAGCATTCAAGGGGAGGGGATTACAGGAGGCTGTGAATACCAGGAAGTGGGGATCACTGGGGGCCATCTCGGAGGCTGTTGGCCACATATGACTTCCAATTAGCACTCAATGGCTTACAAAGTGTCTCCATGTAGTGTGTCCATCTGACTCTAACAACTCTGTAAGGGCGGGCAGAGGAGGCACTATCTACCATTATTCCCATTGCACACATGAGGAAACTGAGGCTCAGAGAAGCTGGGCATTTGCTCAAGCTAGAACCCAGGTCTTCTGTCTCCAAATTTGGAGCTACACACCAAGGCATCGCTGATCTATGTAATGAATCCAGGAGAAGCACAATTGAAGAAAAAGCTGCCTGAATGAGAGCAGCTGATGCAAGGCTTTCCAAAGCCATAATGTGACTTGTTTCCATATGACTGGAAGGCGTAGAGCAATAATGGAAAACCGGGTGCTCCATTTTATTTACGACCGTATTCGGAGGAAACCATCCACTTACAGGGAACAGCCAACAGAGGAGATGGATCCACGCAATTATTTCAAATAGTCAAGGGACTGTCCCAGGTGGTGTGCATGTTGTGGGTGTGCATCAGCTGTACCAAAGGCTGGCTTCTGTCAAGAAAACCAAGTGAAGATGCCATGGGGAGGGGGCATCTGAATAATGCAGAAATCCTGGAAAGTTTGCTTGCCTTAAATCTAGCTCTCTTAAGGGTTCCATATCCTCCCTAAACTGCATTTCCTCCACGGTGTGCCCATCACACTGGTCACTTGATCAGCCAGCCAGCCACAGCTCTAGGTACCTCCACTGGTGCAGAGTGCAGATAAGGTGACCAGGAGACCCGCAGGCACTGCCTCAGCCTCCCTGGGACATGAAATCCACTGGGGGCTCCTGGACAATTGCCCAAGCAGGATTTTCAAATTACCAGCAAAGAAAACCCACAGCAGAGGACAATAATTTAGAAGTTTTGACTGAGGTCCCAAGATATGATCCAGATACCAAGGCAAGGGGTGAGAGCAGACCCACAGGTGCACACTCCTAAGGGGGGCTCAGACAACTGGGTGCACAACTTGTAGGGGCCTCCCACCCAGATCAAGGGGTTAAAGGGTTGAGAGAGTAGAGACAGGGGGTGGGGCTAGAAAGCGATGTCTTTAGAGAGAGCTGCGCTGAGGGGTCTACCCTCCCTCAGCACAATCACACTTGAAAGGAGGCCACACATGTCAGCATCTTCCATGGGCCCCTCGAGATCGCGTTAGAGCCCAAAGTTTCAAAATTTCATATTGACAAAGCTGAGAAAAAGAGAAGTAAGGTGCGGTCTTCTACGCCTCTGGGGGCCACCCCAGTTGCCCAGACCAAGGGATGGGCCTGGTGAGAGGAGACACCACTTCCTCCTAACCCAAAGCCTTTGAGGGCTCCTCACTGGGCCCACTCAGAGCTCCATATCTATGTGTCCCCTGCAGGTACACTGCATAGAGGACTGGGTCCCATGGGAGTAAAAGCAGCTTACAGCAGCAGAGTGGGGGACCATAGGGTCTGGGGATATCATCACACCCTCTCAACAGCGGGTCAAAGATGCACGAACCCCAGACACCAGATGCGGGACCCATTGTAGAAATACTGCTTTAGGGTCTTTTTAAAAAGACTCCTGCCCAAAGACAGTCTTCCAGGACCTGGATCCCTCAGGAGAAAAAGTTGGAGGAGTGGATACAATGTGAGGAGTGGGCAGGGACATTCAGCTAAAGGCCAGGCCCCTGCGCAGGACGTGGGAGTTATATTCAGAGGGTCTCGGCAGGAAAGAGTTGACAGGAACCATCAGCCAGACCCAGAGCCCACAAAGCCAGCTTAGAACAGTGCTAGCCAAGTGACAACTTCCCATGCCCCTCTCCTTTCCTTCCGGCAGCTGGTGAGTAGGGCAGGAGGTGGGCGAGGGAGAAGGCCGACCCCCCACTCCTGCGCTGCCTGCCCCTGGGCCAGCAGGAACAGGGAGAGAAGTGTGCCCTTCCACGGAGGAGCAGAGTGCTGCCGAGTAACCAGCCGGAACCCTTGACTGAATGCAATGACTGCGTTCAGACTGTGCTTGCTTCTCAAAGTGCCAACTATGATTTCCACTTGTTATCTAAGGGTGGCTGGAAAAGTCACGAGAAAGGACTACTGCTCTGGGCAGGCTGGAAAGGGCAGTGCAAGACAAAAATAAAGTGGCTTTCATGATTACACCCTTTGAGTTGGACAGGTTGAACACGTTAGTTATGCACACAAACTCAATTCTCTCCAAGGCTCCTGCCAGCTCTAAGAACCTGTGACTTCTAAGTGCAAATGAGCATTTCTTTAATTAAAAAATACTTCAGCTGCACTTGCTATGAGCCAGGTACTGGTCAAAGCAGCTCATCAGTATCAACTCAGTGAATCCTCATGACAACTCTACGAAGTAGGGATTATGAGCGTCTCTGTCTTACTTATGTAGAAACAGAGACACAGAGAGGTTAAGTAATATGCCCAAGGTCACACAGCTAGCAAGTGGTTGAGCCAGAATTTGAACCAAGAATGTTTACAGCCATAGACCAGAACAGGGTTCCTGTCCAGACTTCCACTCCTGGGTATCTACCCAAGAGGGAAACCTCTATCCACACAAAGGCTTGTATGCGAATGTCCACAGCAGTATCGTTCACAACAGCCCAAAAGTGGAAACAATACAAATGACCATTAACTGGCAGATGGGTAAACAAAATGTGGTCTATACATACAAGGGAATACTATTCAGCCAGAAAAGGAATGAAGCCCGATATGTGCCCTCGAAAAGATGATGTGAAGTGAAAGAAGGTAGATGCAAAGGGCCACATAGTGTGTCATGCCGTTTGTCTGAAATCTGTGGAGCAGGCAAATCCATACAGACAGAGAGCAGATGAGCGGTCACCTGGGGCCGGGGTGGGCACGGGGACTGACTGCAAAGTGGCACAGGGACCTTTTTGGGGTGATGGAAATGATTGTGGCAATGGCTGCACGACTCGGAAAATCTAACCAGAAACCATTGAACTGTGCACTTCAAATGGGTGTGTTTTGTGATACGTAAGTTATACCTCAATAAAGCTGTTAAAAAAACAAAAGCAAAGGAGGCTGACCCCCGCCATCACGGCCCTTCCTCTTGTTCCAGTCGGTTTACACCTATGGTGAAAACCCTTCGGAGGAACACAGGGGGCCAGGGCTTCAGGCCAAGAAGTTGCCCGAAGCCTTTGATTCTCCTTCCAGGCTCCGACGGCCTCCGGGTCATCTGCGTGGAAAAGCCCCACTGAGTTCAGCCGCACCCACCTGCACCCACCGCTAGGACTTCCGCACCACCAGCTGAGGTTTCTTTACAGAACTGCTCTGTCTTGCAAAGAGCAATTGTATGCAGGGGAATTTCCTACCCAAAATGAGACCCCTTCTTTATTATCCCCCAAACACCCCTGCGTTATTTTGCAATGCAAAATTCATGCCTCCTCAAGCCAATTACTGGGGAAAATGTGATATGCGAACATGAATTATACATGTGTTTTCTTTGTGAATTTTTTTTTCTCCTTGGGGATGCTAATTATGAGATAAATTGTTGGGGGTTTTATGTCTTGAAATAACTTCTTGTCATATCAGAGTCCCTCTTGCTACATATTGCCAAGCTAATTGGTGGCTTCCAAAGAGGAGAATATAAGTCATTTTCAATTAGGGTATTAAAAAGATGTGCCAGACACACATACGTACATACACACACACACACACACACACACTCATCTATACATGTTGATATATGTATATTTATATCAGAAAACAATGAATGAAAATTCAGTACACTCTTTCTTTGGGAGATTGTCCCTGGTGTAATATTTTCCCATTTTGAGGGAAATGGGTATTGTACCTCCCTTGGTATTACAACTGAGAAGTCATTTCTGATGCATAAAAGTTCCCCCTTGAGACAGGGAACATGGCTCCACTGTGGGCGTCCAGTGGCCAACATACAACAAGTCTCTTGTTGAAGACAAGTCTTTCAGTGCTGAGATTTTATTCACCCAAACTGGCCCCTCCAGAGCTTGGTGCTAGAGGGAGAGAGCACAGTCATCTGTCTTTCACAGCTTATGTCAGAGCTATAATACTATAAGCGCTGTTTCATAATTCCATCAAGCAAAATCTGTGTGATCCTTTTATTACCCCTTAGGGGACCATAAACCTTTACTTATTCAAAATCACGACTTCTTTCCAAGGATCAAAGTTTTTACTATAGCTGCTTTTAAGCAGGAACGTCAAAAAACTATAGGTAGCTTTTGAGCATCATTCTACTCATTGGTCTTGTAAGTGGAAAGCTAGCTGGCAATTTTATACCACTCTCTGAGTTCAGTCCCTCTCAACACTTAAATGATTCCATTACTGACACATGGAAAAGAAAAGCCAATTCCTCAAACCCACTTAGAATACCATACTGCCAGAAGAATTAGCCTCCCTTGGAAACACAATCATGCCAAAGCACAGGATACCACGATTCACTAAACTAACAGACTATTTTTATGATAGACCAATCAAATGTCCTAAAAAGTTGTCTGAGGAATTACCCACGATTCTAAAAAATGTGCATTAACTTCACAGAGAGGTTGCCATTTTATGATTGCTTAGAAACCCTCAGCAAACCTCAAGCAGAGCACTACACCCACCCGACCTTTGAAGACAAAGAAGAAAGTAAGGAAACCTTGCCGCAAGTAGCTGGCTCAGTGCATCATCATGGCAGAGTTCAAACAATTTGAAGTTGGGGACAATACACCGTCCACTTCAATGATCAATTGCTCACACTGCACTGAGGTGCTCATAAGTAACTCTCGAAGGACTGCAGCCTGCCCAGCAAGCCTGGCTCCAAGAGAGCCGCCCACACCAAGCTCCCTCTTGCTTACCAGCAAAAGTCTCCGTACATGGATTCACTCCTGCAAGACGCTTAGAGGTTCCAAAATCGGAGATTTTCACCACTCCGCTATAGGTATTCACCAGGACATTATCACCCTGTAGAAAAGGAAGAACGTCAAATGCTTAAAGACAGACTTAAACAAACTAACACGAAACAGCTTTGGATCTTAAGAAACGGTCACAAGTCTTAGGAAGACTAGACTGCACTCTGGGGACTGTCATGCTCAATCCTTTCCCGTCTGTGAGCCGGTCGACCTGTAGACACCACCAGCAGCTCACAGGGTCTGAGACGCACAAATGAAGCCTCATGGGCTCAGACAAGCAAGTACCTTGATGTCTCTGTGCACAATCTGGTTTTCATGGAGATACTTAAGGCCTTCTAGGATCTGCTTGGTGTAAAACTTGATGGAGGGCTCCTTCATTGGCCCCCATTTTGATCGCAAAAGAGCAGAAAGGCTTCCTGGAAATGGACACAGCAGAAAACTCGTCAGGGTGACGAAGATTCCATTGTAAAAGCTCGGGGAAATAAAATGAAGTGATGGTGCTAACCTAGTGGAAGCACTCGCGCCAGCATCACTGTAGCTGCGCTAAACCCACTGCGATTCCTCCCTCTCTGTTGTCTGTTTCCCAGCCGTGCAAGCAGCGCAGCCAGAGAAGGACTGGAGGCGAATCAGCACATCGGCCTGAGCCGAGGGGGAGGGTGAACAGGAACCCCTTGTGACCCTGAAATTCAGTGGGGCCACCTTCGGGTACGCAAAGTCAGGAGGAGAGCACGATGCTCTCTGAACTTGGGAGGGCTGGCCCAATGCTGAGGATCCTGCACAAGCGTCTCAGTCATTTGGCCTGGGTCAAAGCCACGTTTTATACCTCGCCCTGACATAAGGGGTGGACAGGAACAGAGTGAGGGGCCCTTCAGGGTAACAGGGACTAGGATTTGAAGAGATTGGGTCTCTCCATCCTCATTGTGAGAAGGCCCCAATGCCAGGTCACAGGGGCAGGACCATCTTAACAATCCCCTCCTCCAATTAGACTATTAAACATTGAACCCTGGGGCCAAAACAAAACCTCTCTTCACTGCACGCTGACCACCCGTTTCAGAGGTCGTCATGCAGGCCCTCGGGCATCAGCCAGTGTCATAGGCGCAGACCTTGCTAGGCCTCAGTGTCCCTGTAGACGGAGACGCACATCTATCTCCAATTCTGTTGTCAATTCTGTTGTCCTCACTCCTGGAATATCGATTCACGTGAACAGCAATGAACAGTATGTTCCGCTAGACTATGAGCAACTTGAGGGAAGAAGAAACTATATTTATTGTAATGTAACCCTCAAAATCTAGCCCATTGCCTGGCTCTTAATATATACAGTTCGGCTCTTAATAACTAACTGTTGGTTGAATGAATGAATGAATACAGATTTCTAACTGAAGTTTTTACATTTGTATTCAGATCATAATTATCATTCTTCTTATTATTATCTTTTAAATGAGCACTTACAGAGTTCTTGTTCTCTGCCAGGTACTGTTTTAAGAGCTTTACATACATTATCTCATTTAATCCATCCCAAAACCCACTAAGATAGGGTCATTATTACTCCAATAATTATTAATTACTACTCCAATTATTATAGTAATTATTATTACTCCAATTTTACAATTAATTTATTCAATCAGAAAACTGAGGGCACAGAGAGGTAAAGAATTTGCCTAAGCTCACACAGCTTGCAGATGGAGGGACTAATTCACACTAGACAGTCTGGCTCCAGCTCCGAGGAAGTTCTACCCCCGCACAATACTGCCTGCATTTGAGGATTTTGTGGATAAAGCACTGGTGTTTGATTTCACTGTCAACATGCTATTTTGAAATGTCATTTAAAAAACCTCTGTCCTCTCTTCTCCAAACCGTCTTTAATCTCCTAGACTGTGAAGGCCTCAAGGCTGGAGACTATGCTTTATTCATGTCTCCGTCTCCAGCGCTCAGCCCAGCGGCTGGCACTCAGTAGATCCTCGATGAATATTTGATGATTGAATTAACAAGGCAGAAATAGACTGTTTATGTGACATTGGCAAGTTTGTCTCCAACTCCTCTGAGAAACAAATGCTCTCCCACATCTAAAAGGTCTGTCATCTTGTAACTGGCAGGAAGGATAATGATGTTCACATTAGATTTTTGTCAGTGATTTTCAGCGTGTGAGACCGGAAGACCAGTGACTACTCACCCCCAGGCACCTGCTCCATAAAGATCTTAATGTAGCCATCCTCGGAAACAGAGCCAAGGTACTGAACGATATTGCGGTGCTTGAGGTACTTGTGAAGGGCTATCTCCTCATGCAGAGGCTGAGAGTACCTAGGAGGAAAGACAGAGCCAGTGTCACCTGCCAAATCCCAGGGGCTTGGGGTCGGCCCTGCACCTCGCCAGTCCCCGCCCTGCTGCTGGCCATCCCTTCTTTCTGAAAACGTTCTCTCCCTTGGCTCCCATGAGACTACTCAACTTCTCATCTGTAAAATAGGAGATGATAATACCAGCCATGCAGGGCTGCTGGGGGCCAAAGTGTGTCATGTTTCTTAGGCACTCAGTGGAGTGCCTGGTGTGTGGTAGGTACTCAGTGAATGACTGCTATTGTTACTATCGCTAAGGTTAGGACTTGAATTCTCCAATCATCCTTTGCATCTCTCAACAGCCCCTCTTCCTCTGCCTCCCATGAAGGGTGGTGTTCTAGAAGGTTCTGTCCTCAGCTGCCTTCTAATCTCATTGCACTGTCTCACTCCAGACTACAGCAACAGCCACCTAATGGACCTCCCAGCCTCTGGCCTCTTTAGTCTATCCTCCCCCGGCCACCATATTCCTTCTTCCTAAAACACACACCTCATCATATCACTTCCCTTCATAAAGTCCACATAAAGACCAGATTGCTTAACATAGCATCAAGGGCCTTCAAACTCAGGTCAGACCACATCTTTTAAATTTTTGCCTCAGCACAAGAGCACCCCCGCCCCACATCCTACATTCAAGTCACAATAGACAATTTGTTGTTCCTGAATACACTCTGGGCTTTAACAACTCTGTTCTTCTCTTAGCATAGAATGCTTTGGCCTCCTTTTCTGCCAGATGAACTTCCTCAAAGGCCAGCTCAAAGATGGTTTATTTTCTCAAACTTGCCACAACTCCCCCCAGAAAAGTAATTCACTCCTCTCCTATGCTTTACAAACACACTCTGTACTCCTCTATCATGGCACTTGTCATTTTGACTCCCAGGCAAGGTATCTGCATTCCCTACCAAACCGGGAGCACTCTGGGATAAGGAGAGTATCCTAGTCACCTTTCAGTCCTCAGTGCCAGCCCAGAATCTGGCACAGAGAAGGTGCCCAATATCCTAAATTCAGCCTGTAAATTTAGGGAACAAAACAATACAGTCTCGAAGTTCCCTTCTAGCTCTAAAATCCCAGGAACGACTATCAGTGATGAAAAGCTGAAACAACTATTGCAACCAATTGAAGGAGGTGGGACATAGCAATTTCCCCCCCAAAAACAACTGTTACACCTTATCCGTCATGAGAATAAGAGACACAATACTGGACGAGGAACTCAAGAAACTGGCTCCTAGTCTTGTTTCCTCATGTCCTTGGAGAAGCCATTTAATCTTCCTTAGCCTTGGAAGAAGTTAGATGAGTTCGTTTCAGGCCCTGTCTTATAATTCAAATATCATAACACACAATCCCACTAAAAATGAACGGATGAGCAAACTAATGAGTGAGTGAACGAAGGAATGATGAAGGGTCTTACAGCTGCTAGACATGACTTGCAACCCAACCCTGATAAGTCATTGACCACCTGGATGGAGGGAGGTTTGCACGTGTCCGTCAGTGTCCAGCACTGAAGGTAACACTGCAGCTATGGTCTGACCACACCTGGGGAGCATGGAGCTCTTTCTTCTGCCATGGCCATTACTGTGCATGTAGCTTCTCTACAAAAACACTTGACAGTCAACACTGCAACATTCTTGTTTAGAATTAGGTGGGTTATGAATTTAAAAAGGAATAAACACTTAATTAGACTCAAAAAATGTTGAAGAAATAAGTTAGTAGTACTGGTGGTTTAAAAAAAAAAAGCTCAAAATCTACAGGCGAGATTGAAGGCAGGGTATAGAAAAAGTCTGTACTGCAAAAAGCTAATTTTCTTTTCACCACATTTAATTTTCTATAATGATACATTAGAATAAATAAGTCATTTAAAATTCTTACGATATGAATTAAAGTACTGAGTCACATTTTTAAATATTTGCGAACAACTATCTATGTAAAAATGTATAACTTTAGTCCTAGTTGATGGGTGGAAATAAAACTACAGTTTTCTTTTAAAATATGGCTCTGCAATCCACATGCCTCGGAGTGAAGTTGCTCCATTTCCTCTATAACATGCAGAGAACAAAAGCAAATGACCTTTATTACAAAAGAATTAGAAAGTTTTGGATGACATCCTGAAATCCTTTCATCCTGAAATCCTCTGCACCGTGAGTTGTGGGCATGGGATTTGGGTGTGGAGGTGGCGACTGAAGAACGTGGAGGGCCACCCCTACTTGCCTGCTATCTCTCTCTGGGATTTCTTTGATGGCTATTCGCACTTGATTGCTCAGATCTCTTCCGGCATATACGATCCCGTACGTGCCTTTCCCCAGCACAACTCTGTCACCCTTCACATCGTGGTCATACTCATACTGAAGAAGGAAAAGCAACAAGATAAGAAAGTACACAACGTGTGGTAGAGAAGCCCCAGGAGAGACCAAACATTGTCCCACAATTTTTCTTCCTTTATAAATAACATGATTGGAGCACCAGGCAGGTCACATTTCTGAGGTTATGTACTTTTCATTAAATAATTACTTTAAAGAGGTAGAATTCTCAGTTACTCATATATCCGTAGCGCGATTTTATGAAACGGAATCCAAGAAATTTAAAAATATGGCTCAGGTGTAACTTAGCTGGCTCACCTTTTGAAGATTTCTTCCCACCGTAATGCTGCAATTTAAAAATGCTTCTAAGCATGTCAAGTACCCCCAATAGGTGTCCTCCTGCATGATCCCTTAGCTACTTGTCAGGAAACAAACCTCTTTCTATAGCCCAGAAAAGAATTGAAGGTCAATAAAATTAAAATTGTCTTACTAGAAAGTACATATGCGGGGCTTCCCCTCCTTCCTTTTAGATGTATGGATCTGGCATTAAACATATACTGCAAGAATTTGACCTACAGTTAGGATTGCTATTTTGTTCCCCCAATCTTATCATCAAAAGTTGTTGTTCAACATCACTAATTATTAGGGAAATGCAAATCAAAACTACAATGAGGCATCACCCCACACCTGTCAGAATGGCTATAATTAACAACAGAGGAAGTAAGTGTTGGAGAGGATGTGGAGAGAAGGGAACCCTCATACACTGCTGGTGGGAATGCAAACTGGTGCAGCCACTATGGAAAACACTATGGAGAGTTCTCAAAAAATTAAAAATAGAACTACCATATGATCCAGCTATCCCACTGCTGGGTATTTATCCAAAGAACATAAAATCAATAATTCAAAAAGATATATGCACCCCTATGTTCATCGCAGCATTATTCACAATAGACAAGATGTGGAAGCAACCCAAGTGCCCATCAACTGATGAATGGATAAAGAAGATGCGGTATATATACACACAATAGAATACTACTCAGCCATAAAAAAAGACAAAATCAAAATCATCCCATTTGTGACAACATGGATGGACCCTGAGGGTGTTATGCTAAGTGAAATAAGTCAGACAGAGAAAGACAAATACCATATGATTTCACTCATGTGGAAGATCAACAAAGAAACACATAGATAAGGAAAACAAATTGGTTGTTACCAGAGGGGAAGGGGTGGGGGGAGGGCAAAAGGGGTAAAGGAATACATATGTATGGTGATGGATAAAAAATAGACTATTGGGGGTGAGCACAATGAAGTCTATACAGAAAGTGATATATAATAATGTACACGTGAAATTTACACAATGTTATAAGCCAATATGACCTCAAAAAAACAGCTGTTATACAGTTGTATTCCAGTTTGTTCTTCTCAATGATTAAAACAAATGTAATTCTAGGCTGAGCAATGCTTATTGAAAGTAGAGGCAGCAAGGGATTCTTTCTGTTATTTTCTATGCTTCACTATGCCTACTCATAGAAGTACACAGAAGTTGTGAGTGTGTGCAGGTGTGTGTGCCCTTTCCCATCTACTTCTAGGGGTGCTCATGACAATTAAGATTACTAACAAGTCCCCATCACTGTCTGATTTAGCCAGACATCAGCCTGCTCCACAAAAGGCTCCTATCTCACACCTTTCTCTGCCCCTGCATCTGTTACCTTCAAAGCGCATCACTCAGTTCGTTTCTACACCAAACCTTGATTCTAAGCTAAGAATTCGAGTACCTGACTCAATTATTAAAATGAATCCCTTTGATATTTTCTGAAATAAACCTCAAAGAATTAATTTCAGTCAACTTGAAAGTATAGTAAAATCTCATTAAACTGTAATCAGTGGGAAGGCCTGAATTAGTGGCAACTCTGAATAATCATGTAAGATTTAAACATATGTGTAATGGTGTAGTAACTGGACTACAACTGTACTGTCCAAAAGAGCTTAAGATGATCCCACTTTCTAAAAAATGATATTAAAATTGTTATATTTAATATATTATACACAAGTATATATAACTGAAGTCATTTTAGGCATAAATGAAAAAGTCTGCTACCAGCAGGTCAACTATTTCTCTTGTAGTCTCACAAACATTATTAACCAGTTAGAAAAAACTTTTCCATAAGATGTGCACAAAAGGAAATTTTAGTCTAGTCCTTGCTAAATTTTTCTTAAACATTCTGGCTGAGAAGATTCCAAGGTAATGAGGTTTTTCTATAGAGATGTGCTAAATTTAATCTTTGAAAGTCATGGATAGTGATGGCTAGCTCATTCATGAATGAGTATTTTAAAATACACACATAAGGAATTTTCACACAAAAATTGGACATTGTCTTTAAGTATCAAAGACACAATAAATAACTTGTCCCATGTTCTAGGTCTTCCGTGACTCACCTCTAAGGTGTCCCCGTCGGTCTCTCCCTCCAGCTCCACTGTACTGCCCACTGCATTGGTTATCATCTCTTTGACCAAAAAGCAAAACCTAGAACAGCAAATGTTGCAAAGATGCTATTATGATCACTCTTGTTCCTTACCTTTAACTTAGCCTTATTACATTAAACTGTGATTAAATATAAACCAAGCTCTTACAAGTTCATGGAACAATCAATCCACTTCTTGATTTGCCATGGTACTTTAATGGTTGTCTAATCTAGTTCAAATATCCACATTATACATGAATCCCCTCTATACAGTATTCCCACCAACCGGTTGGCCAAGTGATACTTGAACACCTCTAGTGATAGAGGACTCATGACCTCACAAGGCAGCTCATTCTTTGGAGAACTCAATGAGAAATGCTTCACTTATATTGACCTAAGACTTCTTTTACGTGGGTTCCACCCACAGATTGCTTAGAATTATTCCCTCTTCTGTGCAACAGCCCATTAGAAATGTCCACAATTTTATTATGTCCTTGTAATTCTTTCCTCCTTGTTCCCTCAATGTTTCCCCCAGGACTTGTTTGTGAGTCACTCCACCAACAGGTAATTCCTCAAAGGTGGCCCTGGATTACTCAAGTCTGGCCCTGAGACCAGTGTTCCAGGGGTGATCTAATGAGTGCTACAGCCGGTAGGACCATCGCCTCTCAAGGTGCAGATGCTCTAGTTCTTAGTGAGAAATAAGGGCTTATATAAGGGGAGGGGGGAGGAGGAAATAAAGAAGGTGGCCTCATTATTCTGTTCACACAGATGAAGCTTAATATCAACTATTACCCATAAATGCTTCTCACAAGATTGATGTGCTGCTGGGCCACATCAACCACTTCCTAGACTTGTGTACTTGTTACTTTGAGAACAAGTAATTTGACTCATTAGAAAACTTTTATTCCGTATTCTCTCTTAGGATGGCAGGGAAGAATACTGTACACTATAAGATAATTTCCACAAAACAACAAAATATTCTTTTCTCTAACTAACCCATCCCACCTTTGCTTCTTCTAATCTTCGAAAGCTGGGAAATGCAACAGTCAGTCTTCTTAGGAAACATATGGTATGCACTCACCAGAATAACTAAAATTTAAAAGACAGTTATCACTTGTTAAGAATGTGGAGCAACTGGAACTCTTGTACATGGCTGGCGGGAGTGGAAGTTGATACAGCCACTTTGGAAAATCACTGGCAGTTATTGACCAAAGCTGAATATAAACGTACCCTATAACCCGGTCACTCCACTCCTAGGTATATACTCAACAAAAATCAATGTATATGTTTGCCAAAAGGCATGTACGAGAATGTTCATAGCAGTTTTATTCACAATAGCCCTAAATTGGAAACAATCCAAATGTTCATGGATAGAACAAATTGTCGTATATTCACAAAATGGAACACTACACAGAAATAACAAGGAAGAACTGATACACGCATCATGGCTGAATCTCATGGATATTATTTTAAGAGAAAGAAGCAAGAAATAGGAGCACATACTATATGATTCCATTTATTTGAAGTTTAAGAACAGGCAAAACTAACCATTGGTGATAGAAATCAAAATAGTTACCATTGGGGCGGGTTAATGACTGGAAAGGGGCTTAAGGCACCTGGGGTGCTGATCTGGGGGATGGGTACACAGATTTAGACATATGTAAAAACTGATCAAGCTGTATACTTAAAGGCACTTTACACACTTTACTTGTACTAGGTTACACCTCAATTTAAAAATTATTAAAATGGATGACAAAAAAATAGCATTGAGGACTGAATGAGAGTCAGAAAGATAAACTCTGTAGTAAAGGGATGTTCTGCCTAGTATTTGGCAGCAATTTTCCAACTCTAAATTGAAGGTTGTGACCCAAGGGTTCCCCTGTCTGATGTTTAGTCTGATTTCTAAATATTTTGTGATAATGATTGCCTCAGACACACTGCGTTAAAATGTTCTTAAATTGTATGATACACTCAACAAACTAGGAGTACAAGGAACTTCCTCTACCTGATAAAGGCTATTGATGAAAAACCTGTCACTAACATCATGCTTAATGAGGAGAGACTGGATGCTTTCCCCCTAAGATCAGGAACAAGACGCGGACATCTGCTCTGCCACTTCCACCCCACATTATCCTGCAGAGTCTAGTCAGGACAATCATGCAAGAAAAAGAAATAAACGTATCCAGGTGGGAAAAGAAGAACTAAAATGATTTCTATCTGCAGATGACATGATCTTGTATACAGAAAATCCTAAGGAATTCAATAAAACCATTAGAACTAACAAACGAGTTCAGCAAGGTTACAGGATACAAAATCAATATATATAAAGATCAAGGGTATTTCTATACACTAGCAATGAACAATCCAAGTTAAGAATAAGAAAACAACTCCATTCACAATAACATTGAAAAGAATAGAATACTTAGATATGTATTTAACAAAAGAAGTATAAGACTAGTATACTGAAACTACAAAAATTGTTGGAAGAAATTAAAGACCTAAACAAACAGAAAGACATCGCTTGTTCATGGGCTGGAACACTTAACATGTTAGGATGGCAATGCCTCCCAAATTGATGTACATATCAAATGCAATCTCTGTCAAAACCCTAGCTGCCTTTTTTTTCAGAAATTGACAAGCTGATCCTAAAATTCACATGGAAATGCAAGCACCCACAGTAGCCAAAACAATTCTGAAAAACAAGGACAAAGTTGGAGGACTCACATTTTCTGATGTTTACAACTTAATACAAAGCTACAGTAATCAAGAAAATGTGGTCCTGGCATAAAGATAGACACATAGATCAATGGAACAGAAGTGAAAGTCCAGAAATAAACTCTTACATTTATCGTCAACTGATTTTCTAAAAGTGTGCCAAGACCACTTAATGGGAGAAAGAAGTCTTTTCAACAAATGGTGCTGGGACAACGACTTATCCACATGCAAAAGAATGAAGTTGCATCCCTTACCTCATACCATACAGAAAAATGAACTGAAAATGGATCAGAGACCCAAATATAAGAGCTAACACTATAAAACTCTTTGAAGAAAACATAAACACCGAGAAAAACTTGGATTAGGCAAAGCTAGATGTAACACCAAAAGCACAAATGACAAAAGAAAAATAAATTGGACTGTATCAAAATTTAAAATTTCCTGCTGCAAATGACACTATCAACAGAGTTAAAAGACAACCCCTAGAAAGGGAGCAAGCATTTGCAAATCACACATCTCATAAGGGACTTGTATCCAGAATATATAAAGAACTCTTAAAACTCATTAACGAAAATACAAATAACCCAATTAAAAATGGGCAAAGTTTGGAGAAATCTGAAAACACCACTTTCACCAGGTGAGCCAAGTTAATATCACCAGTAATGAGACAAAGATATTGTATGTCTCCTGATGTGATGCACTGAGAAGGACACGACATCACTTCTGTGGTATTCCTACCCAAAATGCTTAACGCTCATGTAATCAAGAGGAAACATCAAGCAAACCCAAATTGAACGACTATACAAGATAAACTGCCTGTACTCTTTGAAAGCATTAAGTCAAGAAAGACAAAGAAGGATTGATGAAGCACTGTTCCCGATAAAAGGGGACTGTACAGACACGACAACTAAATGTAACATGTGATCCTGGAGTGGATTGTGGACCAGAGAAAAAATCTTTTGTTTTATTATAAAGGACATTAATGGGACAATAAGTAAAATTTGGATAAGGTTTGTAGATTATAGGACCATATCAATCTTAATTCCCTGATTAGATAACTGTACTGTAATCACATAAGTGAATGTTCTTGTTTTTAGGAAACACACATCGAAGTACTGAGAGGTAATGGAGCATTATGTCTACTACTCACTCTTGAATAGGTCAGAAAAAAATAATCCTATGCATATAGAGAGAATGTAAAACAAATGTGGTAAAGGGTTAACATTGGGGAATTCTAGGTGAAACATATACGGAAATTCTTTGTACTTTTTTTGAAACTTTCTTGTAGGTTCGAATATTTTCCAAAATAAAAAGTTAAAAAAAATGTTTAATTGGGTGAAGGATTTGAGTAGATAGCTCTCCAAAGAGATATATAAATGGCCAATACGCTCACAGAAAGATGCTCAGTACCATTATTCATTGGGAAATGCAAATCAAACCACAGTGAGATTCTACTGAACAACCACTGGGATGGCTATAACCAAAAGGACAGACAATAACAAGTGTTGCAAGGATGTGGAGAAATTGGCATCCTCGTACATTGCTGATGGGAATGTAAAATGGGAAAACAGTCTAGTGGTTCACCAAAGGTTAAACAGAGTTACCATAAGACCCAGTAATTTGACTCCAAGAGAAAACGAAAAAATATGTCCACCCAGAAACTTGCATGTGAATGTTATTCATAATAGCCAGAAAGTGGAAACAACCCAAATGCCTTTCAAATGATGAACAGATAAACCAAATATATCCATACAATTAAATATTATTTAGTTACAAAAAAGAATGAAGTCCTGATGCATTTTACACCACGGCTGAACTTGAAAACATTATGATAAGTGGAAGAAGCCAGTCACAAAAGGCCACATATTGTATGATTCTACTTATATAAAATGTCAAGAATAGGTAAATCCATAGAGACAGAAAGTAGATTAGTGGTTGCCAGGGGCTGGGGTTGGGAGGATTAGATTGAGGGAGAACGGAGAGTAACTGTTAATGGATACTGGGTTTCTTTTGGGGGGTGATGAAAATATTCTAAAATTAGATTGTGGTGATGGTTGTAAAACTGAATACAGTAAAAAAAGATTGAATTGTACATTTCAAATGGGCGAATTGCATGATATATGAAGTATATCTCAATAAAGCTGTAAAAATAATTTTCTATAAGTTAAAATTTCAGGAAAGGCAATATATCAAATATTTTTCACAACAAAGACCCTCTGGAAATGATTCAGCATATTAGATTGCAAATACCCGAATCAGCTACAACTCACCTACTACACTGCTCTTCGGTGGAAAAGTAGATTTGAAAGTCATCAGAATTATCGTGGACATAGAGAAAACAACACCGCTCATCAAACTTGGATATGCTGTAAAATTTCAAAACATAAGAATGATTATACATAAATTATGACATCAATTTTACATTTCTGGGAACACTCTAGTAACAGATTCTCTTCCATTTTACAAATTTGAAAGATCCATTAACGTTTTAAAGAATACCCCCAAAATTTGACTTGTATTTCTCTATGAAATTTAAAAAGCAGGGACATTTATCTTGCTTATGTTTGAGTTTGTATTCATCAACTGACTTGAATGTGTATAAAGAACTTACTATATATTCAGTGCTAAGCAAAGCATACGGGCAGCAGAAAAGAGAATAAAATATCATCTCTTCCCTCAAGAGTTTATAATTTCACAAAAAAAGACAGGAAAGGTATTTGTGAAATAAGATATATGGTATCAAAGGAATTTCTAGACTTGAAAAACATCAGGACACAGTAATTGTAGCCACACGAGGGAAGCAGAAATAAACATGGCATCTTGGCCCAAGAAAGGCCTTTACAAGTTATCTGGTCCATCCCCACCCAAGGTCTGGATCTGACTCTACAGCTCCTCGAACAGGCAATACTCGGCTTGTCTGGGCATATCCAGTGACAGAAAAGCATCATACTCCATCCGCTGATGGATTCCATTGCTAGAAAGTTGTTTACCTACACTGGGCCAAAGCCTACATTTTGCCAGGTGGCACAATGGAAAAGGCTAGATTCTCTTCTATGATTAGCCCTTCAAACAAATGAAGCCACTTTATCTTGCCCTAAGTCATCTCTTCCTGAGATCCATAGCTTCTTCGACCATTCTCCATATGTTATGGATTACCAATACCGAGTTGAAGCAGCAATAGCACAGGGTGATTCAAAAAGAATTAAAGCTGGGTTATACATGAGCATGTTTTGAAAACCAATCTGCAAAGGAACTACCACAGTTAGTTGGATAGCACTGGTTATGTTCAACACATGCTCTTCATGTCACACTGGTCCCAGGGTCTGATTCACCCCAGGCCCTTTGCACATCTCTGTTAATTGTTAAAACAGCAGCAAGAAGTATACCTCTATGAGAAGGTACAAACAGAAGGTTCTTGACTACATGCTCTCATACAACTTAGTTTCTGAGTAACATGATTTTGAAAATGCTTTTTGAATTACATTTTTCTGAGAAGGATTATTTAAATATACTACTCTGTTCTTAAATTATTTCCCTCCCTTTAAAGTGGCCTGTGGTCTCAGAATCAGAGAAAAGACAGAGTTCTAGTCCAAGCCCTTACTTTGATGGAAACTATGAAGAGACAGACCTAGAGAGGTTGAGTGACTTTCCCAAGGTCAAACAGCAAAAGAGGGATTAAAACTCACATCTCCTCAGAGCCGCTCTCCCACTTGGATGTACTCGCAGGGTGAGACTCAAGAGTGCAGCCACAAGGCTCAGGTCCAAATGCCCACCACTACTGATCCAGAAGAGCAAGTGCCACATCTCTCCCGGGAATACACCACCCCACTCCCTGGCTAATAACATGGCCCTCGGCTCCATTACTCTGCTCAGGAGACCCCGGCCAAGTGTCATTACCAAGTAATCCAGCTTCAGTTCAGGGGTCCTCGAGCACTTGAACATCACTGCCTCAAAGAAGAAACACTTTCTCTTTCTATAGATATAACTTCATCTTTTAAAAAAAGTTTGAGACAAGAGAGTTTGGTCTGTTGGATACAAAAAAATCTACTTTGCTGAAACAAGCCAAGAAGCCATTACTAGCAGCACATTATGAACAAGCTCAGGCCAGGCAACCAAAAAGAAAATAGTCCATTTTGGATTCCGTTAAAAATAAGAACATCACATATTAACTATAAGTGGAAACATTAAGGTAACAAAACATTATTATCATTATTTACATTAAAACAATAATTACATCTTCTCTTATGTTCTTACCTTATTCCCCTAATGGAAGAGGCTGTAAAATTCCATTCATGGATTTGTTTCTGCAGGTATCAAAGATAAAAGTCAGTAGCTTGATTTTTTTCCATGCAAAGAATCATTTTTGGTTTCATTCTATGGTCAATTGATTCTATTTTACTTTCAATAGAGACTTAGGGGTTAGAGCGATATATTTTGCATAACTTGGAACACCAGATTTTTGATTATAAAAATTTGCTTGTATCTCTAGTCCACTTTAGAGCAAACAATCTAAATTTGAAATAGAAACAATAAGTACACAGTGAATGGCCTTTCATCTTCTGTCAACATATCAGAAAAACTCTAAAATGAGTTTGGGAACAGCCTACCTAAGTTGAGTGACCTGCTAAAATGTTTGGAGAAGCAAGAATGTGGCAGATACCAGTCAATGTTCACCACCTTTTAATCTTTTTCTCTTTGGGCACATAGCTAGAATACTTTTCCCAGCCTCCTTTGCAGCTAGGTTGGGCCATATGATGGAGTTCTGCCCATTGGGATGTGAGCAGGAGTGATGTGTGTCACCTGCCAGCCTGCCTCATAAAAACCTCCACAGCAATCCCCTAACATTCTCTTGCCTCATCCGCTACAAGATGGAATGGGGACCCTGCCAACCCAGAAATGACATGAAGCATAGACAAACTTTGATCATGTTAAGATACTAATATTTGGAGGCTATTCGTTTTAGCAGTTAGCCTACCAAGACTAACACAAAAACTAACTAGGATTTCAATCTGGACAAGATGCACTTGTTTTTTCTTTCAGTAACTCTGTTCCCTCTCTCTCCTACCATTCCCTGCCCTCAGACTCTGCACCAAGCCAAGCCTCAGAAGGAGTGTCTGAAATCTCAGTTTCAGAAGAGCCATAGACTACAATACCAATACATCACAACAATAGAAATAATTTTGAATGACAAAAATACATTTGGTTAGCCTGAGGAATGTCATAAATGACCAGCTAAGCCCCCCAGAGAAGACAAGTGTGAGAGCCAAAAGACTGGGCATATGGCTCAGGAGAACAACTACGAGCAGTCAGGTGACAAATTCCTGCCATCCTTGGGCAATGATAACAGGAACAACTGGGAGGATGGTTCCCAATGGGAGAAGATCCATTCGTACGTGTTGATTAAACACCAACTACGTACCAGGCAAGGTACCAGCACTGAAGACATGCCAGAGAATGACAAAGTCCCTGAAGTGAGAGGAGATGGGCAATAAATTAAATAGTAAATTAATAGCATGGTGGACGCTAAAAAGTGCTTTGAAGAAAAATAAAGCAGGGAAGGACATTAAGGTGGGGCAGGGGGTCATGATGTTAAAGTGGATGCTCAGGGAAGGCCTCTCTGATGACTTCTGAGCAGAAAGCTAAAGGGAGTGAAGGAGTGAGCCATGCAGATATCTGGGTGAACACTTCCAGGCAGAGGGAACAGCAAGTGCAAACAAAGGCCCTGAGGCAGCAGTGTGCTTGGTATGCGACCAGCGAGGAGGAGTGTGAGTGGAGTGAGAAGTGGGGAGTGGGAGAGGAGGTTGGAGCTCATGAGGGAGATCAGGCAGGGCCTTAGAGGCCATCATCAGGACTTCAGCTTCTACTCTGTGTGGGACGGGAAGCCATCGAGGGCTGTGAAAGATGAAAGCAAACGAAAACAGGAAAGCCATCACATTGGACCCAACCCCATAGACAGATTGAGCATATTTCAGAGGAGAGGTGTGTTCAAAGTCACTGAAAGAGGGTAGTGGTGGAGAGCAGGAGTCTACTTTTGGATTCAGGCACAGAAATAGGAAGCAGGGCAGATTCAAGAGAGCCTTGTCTGACCCACATACGCTTCCGAGAGGCTGCACGTATATAGAAAGCTCAGCCACACGAGTGTTCAAAGGACTCCCAGAGGCTAGGCTTGCTCCAGGGTAGCTTTAGGGAACTTCTTGATTTGGGAGGAAGATTTACTAGTTAAGAAGTAAACAACACGGACCTCCCCTCTCTCCCTTTATACCATAACCAACAGGCACTTGGGGTGGGGGGTACCTGCTTTGTAGGGTCTACAGACATAAAAATATAGAAGTCACGCGTGGGCTTGCAATGCATTTCGGGAGATATTTTCAGAAACTGATAAACAAGCGATAGGATGTACTTTGTACGTGACACAGGCAATGAGGTAGCCTATAGACACGCAGTGGAAGGAGTGAAAGCGTGGTTAGAGATGCCTTTGCGAAAGTTAGGACGTGGATAATGGGAAGAAGGAATTCCAGGGAGGAAAAAGGATGAGAACAAAAGTGCAGCTGTGAGCCCCTGCGTGGCCAGCTTGAGGGATGGAAGAGGAGAGGAAGGGGACAGTCCGGCTGGGGCTGAGGATCGGGGAAGGGAGGAAGGGAGGGGCAGGATTGTATAGGGACTTGACACTTGGGAAAAGAGTTTGAGTTTTATTTGGAAAGCCACAGGATCCAGTAATGGTTGGGGAATATCAAGAGGGCCAGTACAAGTGCTTTTTAATTATTATTAAACTTTTAAATTGAAGTATAACATATATTCAGAAAAGGGGACAGTGATTAGCTCAACAAGTTTCCACAAAATGAATACCCATGGTAACCAGCATCTAAATCAAGAGACAGAACATTAGCAGCAGCCCAGAAGCTTCCCTCGTAACCCCCATTCCCAATCACTCCTTTCCACCCAAAGGCAACTGCTATTCTGGCTTCTACCACCACAGAGAGTTTTGCCTGTTCTGAAATATTATATAAATGGAATCATGAAGTCCATGCTCTCCTGCATCTGCAAATGGAGTTTTTCATGAAATATCTGGTAACAGAAGACAGGACTGGATGCACTCTTTCTGATTTGGTGTCCTGGTGGGTCAACTGGCACAGAGTACTCGATCAGCAAAGCTGGGACTGTTTTCCTCCTATTCCAAGCTTTCTGTTAGGCAGCATCCTGATCTTTCCTGAGAGGCGATATTTTACCATATCTAAATCATGATGAGGAAACAGACTCAAGATTGTAGCTTTCCATGTCAGTGTCAGAAGCCCCTGATAAAAGTGCATTAGAAGCAGAGCCAGAGTGGGTTATGGAGAAATGGGCCAGGAAGCCAGAGGTAGAGGCACGCCTCCAGGATCCCCTGGGTGCCGACTCAGCCTCTGCCCTCCTACCTCCAGAATACAGACTCGTGAGGAGAAATCTTGGGTGTCTGTGATGATTTTGTGTTAAGAGCGTAGACTTTTTGCGTAAGTTTGTCCTGTTACTAACATAACTATAAAAGGCACCAATAAAAGAGCTTTCCAAAACCAGCAGCCCTACCTGTGTGAACAACACTGGTGGCCACTATGTGCCTGTTGGTGACTTTGGGGCCAAAGAGAAGCTGAGGCAGAAATGGTGCATTTGCTCCTGCTCTGTGCGGCCTCCTTGTGTTAGTGTGCTGGGTGCAGCTTGCACCAGCTCAGGAAGGCCAATTTTGTACATCTCTTCCTAACCTCACACTCAGTGACCTGATGTAGGTTGCCTGAAACTGGCCATGGTGGGAGTATTTACACCATAGAAAGCGGCAAAAACTACAAATCAGTCCTCTGCTCCTGTGTCTCTGGAGAGCCGGTTGTTAAACATTTACCAGCGTAAGTTTCTGAATCCTTGGCTCAAAAACCAGAACTTAATGTCATCTTACAGCGATGTTGTGTGTGGGTGAACATGTGCACGTGTGTGATCTCTTCCCACCATCGGTAGCCCCCCGGGAAAAGATGCAACACTGTGTAGAGAAATGTCATCTTACTTTAGCAAATCTGCTTGCTTTCACAATCTGCAGAACTTAAAAAATGTAAATGAAGGCAAAAGCAAAGGCTTCCTCTCAAAGAAAAAAGCAATTTCTATTTCTCTCAGACGTTTGCTCTGACAACTACAAGCACTTGTACAAAACATTTCATCAGTCAAGGAAAACTAGCATTTGCTGCTTATGTAGTTCTTTCCATTTCTTATTATGGACCATATACAAACAAAGTAAAATATTTACAACTACTGAGATATTATATGTACCAAGGGAAATGTCCAGTAAGGGCTAGCAACCATTATAGGATTCAAACGAAGTGGGCAAAGTTTGAAGAATTCCATGAGATCAAAGCCATCTTGCTCCAAATGTATGAAGAGCATATCAATGGAATAGTGAGATGACAGATGAGAATTTTGAAAATTCTTTCATATCACAGTGGCGTCAATGATACAAAGAATAAGAAAGGCTGGTCTCTAGCACAAGAATTCCAACACTGAGAACAGGATGGTGCATGGAGGTGGTACCTGGAGAGGGCACAGAGGAAGCCTAAGCAGGACTTCAGGGGTGGGGGTCTGCTGGTATTCTCTTCCCTAACCTGCACTGGTTATTAGCGTGTATCCACTTGGGAAAAATCCTTCAAATTGTACATTTATGATTGATGCATTTTTCTGTATGTTATACTTCAATAAAAGATTCAAAAAAACCCAAAGAGGCAAATTTCATAGAAGATGCATGCATTCTTCAAATGAGATATATCTGTTTGGACACTCTGAATTCATTTTATTATAGCTTTAATTTTTCTCTTTTGCACTCAAATACTTAATACACACAGTGCAGGCAAAAAACCCAAGCACACTATGGCAGCTCATCTTCACTAATGGCTGCTGACTATCATCAACAAGAAGTTGCCTCACTACTAAACACTAGACAAAGTTATTGGCTTACACTTGTGTAATGGACTGAATGTTTGTGTTCCCGTAAATTCATATGTTGGAGCCTTAACCCCCAGTGTGATGGCATTAGGAGGTGGGGCCTTTGGGAGGTGATTAGTCATGAGGGTGGGGCCCTCATGATGGGATTAGTGCCTTTATAAGAAGATACAGAGAGAGTTCTCTGTCTCTCTGTCTCTATCATGTGAGAGCACAGCAAGAAGACCCCAATCTACAAACCAGGAAGTGGGCTCTCACCAGACCTGACCACGCTGGCACCCTGATCTCAGACTTCCCAGCCTCCAGAACTGTGGGAAATAAATTTCTGTTGCTTAAGCCACACAGTCTACATTATTCTGTTACAGCAGCTCAAGCAGACTAAGACAATTTGAGGTATCATTCAAGACTATTTCTTTTTTTATACCATTATTGAGGTATAACTGATATACAAAGAACTGCACATATTTAATGTGCATAATTTGTTGAGTTTGGATATATGCGAACACCCATGATACCATCACCACAATCAAGCACTAGACAGATACAATACCTCCCCAAGTGTCCTTGTGTACCTTGGTTTTTGTTTTGATTTTTGTGTGTGTGTGCTAAGAACACATAACATGAGATGCGCTCTCTTAACAAATTTTGAAGTGCACGTACTGTATTGTTAACTATAGGCACAATGCTGGATAGCAGATCTTTACAACTTATTCACTGAGCATAACTCGACCTTTATACCCATTCAACAATGGGGAGTTGCTGTATCATGACTATTTCTCATAAGGAATTTCGAACATGATTTTGAGCCTCTGCTTGTTCTCCAATGTTGCATTTTATTTTTGAAGATGCTGCTTGTGTTCACCTGATGAAAACACAATTGCTCACACTCTGGTTTCCAGGAAAAAAACAATGCTTCCTTGCCAAGTTAATGACAGGACTCTCTCCACTCTCCGTGAAAACATATCCGTAGCAAGTAGATCTACCCAATGCACTGGTCAAAGGTGCTACATCTTTTGATTATTACAAAATATTTTAATAAAGAAAGAAGCTGATGAAGCACTTTAGACACACAGAGATGAAAACATAGCTGTTACCATAAAACATCAGGCCTGGCCCAGCGTTTCTGTAATCTTATTAACAGGCAATTAAAATGTTGCCTCTCCTATATTGTTGGTGTGAGTATAAATCACAATGGTGCAGATTTGACAGCAGCTATCGAACTGCAAATGTGTGTAGTCTTGAATCCAGCAGGTCTGTTTCTGGGAATCTCTGCCCCTGAAACACCTATCTGAGCATGGTAGGGTGTAACCGCCAGGGTGTGCCCCGTATATCTACCATCGGCTAGAGTGCAAAATTGAGCTGGAAAAGTGCGTCAGCAGGGAAGCAGTGAAATAAATTATCATTCATCCATACTCAGAAATGCGACACATGATATGGGAATATAGGGAATATTACATTTTAAAAAATCGGATGGATCAGTGTGTGCTATATGCAAAACTGGCCATGATGTATAGATCAGTTAAAAAGAGTAAGTTGCAAAATAATAAATATTTACTGTATGACCTCACTTTAATGAAAATGCCTCTCTCTCTCTCTCTATATATATATATATACATACACACACATATGTATATATGATGTATGTATGTATACACATACACATTATACATATATAAGTGAGTTGAGTTTAGAGAAAGGTTTAGGTAGATATCCACCAAATCATTGGGGGGATTTGGAGGGACATTCCCTTTATTCTTTATTCACTCCTTATGGTTTAGCTTTAAAAACAAGCCTATATAGGGGCCAGGCCTGTAGTGTAGTGGTTAAGTTTGGCACACTCTGCTTCAGCAGCCTGGGTTCAGATCCTGGGCACAGACCTACTCCACTCATCAGCCATGCTGTGGCAGCAACCCAAATACAAAACAGAGGAAGATTGGCACAGATGTTAGCTCAGGGCTAATCTTCCTCAGCAAAAAAACTCCCCCAAAACAAGCCTATCTTCAATCATATGTATATACACACAAACACACACACATATATACACACACATGTACACACATATATAATACAGACATATCTACAATGGGAAAACCTGCTTCCTTTCTTTCATCTGTGATTATACTCTCTCATACATTCCCGTAATTCAGAAGTTAGCCACAAATGCCTGTTCCTTCAAATACTACAACATAGACTCTCCTACTTGAAAACTGAATCTTTGATTAAATAACACAGAATAAGGAGAGAGCTATTGTGAGTTTTCCCCTACCATTTCCGCGGGTGAGACATGCCACAGAGAAACCGTCCTCTCCTCAGCTTCATTGTTTATAGAGACGTACGAAGGCTGGTAGACTTTGGTTGGTTCTATCACCAGAACCTGAAAGAAGACCAGATTTCTGTAATGCATGGGAATATAACACAGAGGTTCCCCTGCCCAGGAAGGAAGTGAAAGCTCTGTACCCCACAAATACTCACCATGTACCTACTGCGAGCCAACACCGCTCTAGGCCCTGTACATACACAGCCCACAACAGAAGGCCCTGCCCACGGGAGGTCTATGCTCTGATGGGGCAGATGGACTAACAAACAGACAGGGATAAGCAACACAACATCATACAGAGCTCTGAGGAAAATAAAGTGGAATAAAGGAGGGGGCACTTCTTTAGACAGGGTAGCCAAGAAAGGCCTGCCTGAGTTGGTGACAGAGAAGAAAGAGGAAGGCTACAGTGTTTGAGAGAAATGAGGAAGTAAACTGGATGATCCACAGGTAGGTACCAAGTCTATAAAAAATGCAAGGGGATGAAAAGAGAGGTGACATCCCATAGGTAATGTTTTATTTTGTTGGGGTAGAGGGAGGGAGGGAGAGGAGAGGGGAAGAAAGTGGGGGAGGGAGATAAAGAGAGAATGAATTTCCAAAGCAAATAAAGCAACATGTTAAAGATTGCTAAACCTGGGCAGAGGTTACACAAGCGTCTGTTCCGTTATTTTTTGGTACCTTTCAGTAAATTTGAAGTATTTCATAATTAAAAGAAGATTTTAAAACTTATTACCCAGGAACAAAATCATTATTATAATCATTTCAAACAACTTAATCTTTTATTAGATGTTTAATGAAATTCTTGAACACCACATGTTCCCACAAAATCTCACGGCATAAATATGAAACACAATTATCCGAAGTTCAGTTTCCAGGATGCTGAGATATCTTACTTATGACTCCTTATAAGATGGTCATAAAATTGAAACAAAAGCTCAATGAAGAGCTAAAAGCAATTTTGCTTTCCAGTAAAGTTTTAAAAATTAATTAGTGGCATCGGAGGCAAACCAAAGCTCAATAGGACACAGCTTCAAATTCCACAATTTCACAATGAGGACTGCACTGTGTTCGAGCAGGGTCTCTCCAGCTCGGCACTACCGACATTTAGGGCTGGATCATTCTGTGTTGTGGGGGGCCTGTCCTGTGCACTGTGGGATCTTCAGCGGCGTCCCTGGCTTTTACTCCACTAGCTGCCAGTCTCAACACCTTCCCCACAGTTGTGACAACCAAAAACGTCTCCAGACATTGCTAAATGTCCTCTGGGGGACAAAGTCACTCCCAGTTGAGAACTACTATTTTAGAGAACATAGCCAACTTTCTAGTGAGTTGATCGATCCCTGGCTGATTTTACATATGATTGAGGGATATCCTAACATTTTCAATTACTCTAAGGTTTTCTTCCTTTCAGAGTATTCAACAATTAGATAGCACCAATCCTCAGTTTCTTTATCTTAAAGAAATGGATTAGGATATCTTACTGGAAATCTGAGTCCATTAGTAACTTCGTTTGTTGCCTCGAAAATTATATCTAACCAGAAGTTAAGCCGTTCTTGCCTGGGTGAATGTTCGATAATGGGTTTCTTGAAGCGCTGAATTAATAGTAAGTTCTGAACTAATGATCGCAGGTACCTGGAAAAATCACAAGCACCAAGAAATTAGATTTCCAAAGAAACTGAATTCAATTCTACTCCCTTTAAAAGAAGTTTCCCAAAAGCTTTATTTACTTAAATTCGTATCGTGTAGTGAGTACTTCTTAATCATCTGGCAGCCACATACTTAATTAAAAGAAACCCAAACAGTGGACAAAATAAGCTTGTCCAACAAAATCATACCACATTGGCTTTTTGCCAACATTGGAGTAAACTTCAATTTTGGTACATGGTGTTCAAAGCGTAGAGACTGGCAAGCATTTGATAACTGTCTTAAATAACAAGAGCAAGTAGTTTGAAACTCAAAGCAATTACAAAATGACAAAATTTCAGACCCATCGTCTTTTTCTTTTTTAATCAAACTTTTTATTTTGAGGTAATTGTAGATTTACATATAGTTGTAAGAAACAATACAGAGAGATCCCATGTACCCTCAGCCTGGTTTACGTCCATGGTAACATCTTGTAAAATTCTAGAACATATGACAACCAGGATACTGACAATGATACAGTCAAGATAGAAAACATTTCCATTGCCACAAGGATCCCTCACGTTTCCACTGAAACAAGGATCCCTCATGTTTCTCTTCTATAGCCACGCCTACCTCTCTCCCATCTACATCCCCTCCTTGGCCCCTAGCAATCACTAACGTGAAACTCATGTCTTTTCTTTTTTTAAAAAATTAGGTCTGACCAGGTAGATTCTGAGTTTATGAGGTCTCGAATCTCACCACAACTTTATCATCTTCAGGCAAATCGAACTTTATGAAACATGATTGCCAGGCAGTGGTGGTCATGTCCTCTCTGGTAGTGAAGGGGGATGGTTCATCCGAAAGCATCAGAGTATTATTTTGCCCTTTGAGGAAAAAACCTGGAGCTATCTTGGGAAGGCAGATCAGCTAGACTCTGACTTGCTTGGGTGCGTGTAGTAAAGGATTAACTCAGCAGGCCTGGGTTGTCCAAATGCTACATATTCCAAAGAAAGGTCTTGCCCTTGACTGGCTTCTGGGAGATCACCTTTAAGCCCTTGGGATATTTTGCCTGATAAGAGTGTCTTTGTTTACCTGGGGCTTTGGGCCATGCCAGAGAGCTTATATTAACAATATGATTCATGGTGGGGGCCTTGGGCCATGCTGTATCAGTGTGATCTCCAGAGCGGCTGGGGACTCAGTGACTAAGGTCAGCTACATGGGTGCTCCATGCATACATGACTGACCCCCAGTAAAAACGCTGGACACTAAGGCTTGGTGAGCTTCCCTGGTTGGTGTTACATTGTACATGTTGTCACACATCATTGTTGGGCGAATTAAGCACTGTCTATATGACTCCACTGGGAGAGGACAGTGTCTGTCTCCCCTGGACTCTGCCCTAAGTGCCTTTTGCCTTTGAAGATTTTAATCTGTCCACTTTTACTGTAATAAACCATAACCACAAGTATAACCAATTTCTGAGTTCTGTGAGTTCTAGTGAATCACGAACTTCAGGGTGGTCTTGGACCGACAGCAATAGGTACCAACACTATAAGTCAGTCTAGGTGCTGATATAATGGGAACGTATCAAAGCCTCAGGCCTCCTCTCCATGGAGTCAGCTCTGTCTGGCTCAGATGCAGCAATGCATCTTAAAATTAGAATTCTGGAAACAGCAGCCACTCCAGGAAGGCTGGAAGCTCAGCGTGCCTCTGTGTTCTCTCAGCCTCAGAAAACTTTCAAGATATATGGTTTGAGGACCAAATTTAAGTCCTTCAGACTGGGAAGAAATGAGGTCTAACCAGATACGACTGGAGAGATTCCTACCCCTTGGAGTCCAGACTGGCCCACTGAGCTGGGAAATAAGAGGGGGCAGAGGAACACAGATTGTTAAAAATAAAATCTTTAAAATTATGCAAGTAACCCAAATTCATTTAATACAAATCAGAAAATAGAGAAAAGGAAAAAAACAGATTAAAAACTTCTTATAAGGCTACTTCCCTGAGATAACCAGTCAATACTTTGAAGAAAATTCATCATTCGTTAATTACACAAATATCTACCGAGCATCTATTATGAGCCCTTAGCGATTAATAAGATAACCACAATTCTAACACAGTTTAGTGTCTATCGGGGAAGTCAGCTACTGCCCATTCCTCCCAGACCTTCCTCTGAGTCGCATACCAAACATAGATTTTTAACTAAAATGAATCCATACAGAACAGTGGTTCTCAAAGTGTGGTCCCCAAACCAGCAGCATCAGCTTGTAATTTGTAAATGCAAATTATCAGGCCCCACTCTAGACCTTTGGGACCAGAAATCCTAAGGGTGGGCCCAGCAACCTATATTTTAATCAACACAGGTGATTCTGATACACACCAAGGTAGGAGAACCACTGATATAGAAAAATATATCCTGCAACTGGCTTTTCTTATTCTATGATAAACCACGCACACATTTCCAGGTCTCCAAGTATTCTTTCTTGCACATTTTAATGGCTGTACAATGGGATAACCTAGGGCCACTGTTGTGCCACCATTTTCTTGACCATATCATTGGTCTTTTAGTTCCAACTTTCATTTTTGATGAGCATCATTTTCTTGGTGTGCTTTTAGCTTCACTATCTGCTTTCTCACAAACGCACGATACGTACCGGCACCAAAGACTGTTTTGCTCTTGAGGACCTAGATGACCTAAAGAAATTAACAGGATTGAGAGTTTCATCTTGGAGATACTGCATGTAGGGATGTATGCTGATTGTGTAGGTGTCTGTCTCTATGTCTTTCCCTCCCTTCACAGAAAACCAACTGAACTCTCAGAGCTGGTCTTTCTGCTCTCGCTTTGCTTTAATGAAGAAGTCAGAAGAAGAAACACAGCAAATTGCTAGTATTTTTTGCATTTACACCTTTTCTCCCTGGGGAAAACATTTCCGAACAAGATCAGATATTGAGATAGGTGATGACGACACACAGACATCACTCACCAGACTGGAGGTTTCAGTTTGAACAACCTCTCTGCTGCCTGGACGGCCTTCCCAACGTCACTGGCCAACATGCTGACGTTGAAGAACTGACCCACATCCCAGTAATTGTTCATTTTCTCCAAGCTCCCTTTTCTTCCCAACAAACTGTTCAGTCGGACACCTTAAGAATTTGAATTTAAGATAAAGTTAGGAAAAATCTTTCTAGTTTCTATCATATTATACAAGCCTTAAATAGAGGAAAAAGTGGGCATTTTATTTTGGCTACTGTCACAGGTGTGCTATCAGACAGTAATTGTTCCTTTTGAAACATAATGTGAGTTATTTGAACATAATTTTTAACGCTGAACTTGTGTTACCAAAGCACCAACATCTGCAATAATGAATAGCTTTACCTATTTTCCTTAGTTCCATGGAGGTTTCAAATTGTTGTCCAGCAACTATCAGCAGAACAGCAAGGTTAATTCCTGAATAAAGAGATGACTGGAGCTCAAACCCTTTGCGATACCTATAATTACAGAACAACCAAATTCTTATTATATCATCTTATTATGGTAGAAGAAAAAAATGCATAAGTAACGGTAGAAACCAACCTTCTCATGAAAATTTTTACTTATCTAATTATTGTTTTCCAGCTCCCCCCACGTTTACAAGTAGCTATATGCAGCACTCAAATAACTTTCAAAAAATGTCATAATAGCAACACAATAACTTACACTAGGAAGTTTCCAAACTTTTCTTCTTAAGGTTTATATTTTTATTATAAAAACCACGATCATTGTATAAAATAAGGAAACCATATTAAAGTATTCAAAAGAAATTTAAAACCTATTAGAATCCTATCTGCAGAAATAGACCACAATTTGATGTCTAAATATCATTTTTAAAGTCAGACTCCACGGGCTGGCCCGGTGGCACAGCGGTTAAGTGCGCATGTTCCGCTTTGGCGGCCTGGGGTTCCCCAGTTCGGATCCTGGGTGCGGACATGGCACAGCTTGGCATGCCATGCTGTCGTAGGCGTCCCACATATAAAGTAGAGGAAGATGGGCACGGATGTTAGCTCAGGGCCAGTCTTCCTCAGCAAAAAGAGGACGATTGGCAGCAGTTAGCTCAGGGCTAATCTTCCTCAAAAAAAAAATAAAAGTAAAAATAAAGTCAGACTCCATTTGTACATTGAGCTTTTATTATGTAGAAATCGCACAATTGTAGGCTATTTCTCTGCAGGCCGTTTGTTTGCTTATATGACAAAACGGAATCATTTTTTCATGTATGAAGTCAGAATCCTGGATCCCAAAGAGCCATAAGAGCAGCGACATAAAGTGACAGAAGAGGCAGGGATCTAATTACATTAGAATAAAGAACAAAACTGAGAATACCATTTTTACACCAAAAGGTCAACAGTGTCATTTTTAATTCTCTTATTTTTTTTCTATACATAAGAAGTTTCTTTCTCTTCCATGAGTGAGTATGTCTATCATGATTGGGAAAAAAAGAATTCAATCAATGACACAAAAATGTCTTTAAGTGGCACAGTTCACATCAAGGACTTACAAATCAGGTGTAATTTTATAACTCATGACAACAAGAGAATTAAACACCAGCAAAATATTACTTGTGGAAGGGAAAACTTATTTAAGTCAGTTAAAATCTGGTTTTATGAATTTTTGGCATCATACAAGTATCTTCAGATGGACCAGAGGACATCAGGAAAGTCCTTCCAACCTCAGCGAACAAAATTCCAATAAAATTGAAAGCTTTTTCCCCCTGTATGTTTTGGGGATTTTAAATTTCATATCCTACTGCATTTGATCTTTTTCATTTTCTTTTACTATGAAAACCTATCCGGAAAGAGGACAGAGAGGGTAATTTCTCTATGCCACTTATCCTTAAATCAAACGGGCCCAGCTTACGGGCAGACAAGACTTGAACTCAAAGTCAGGATGTCAGTCCCAGGTTTGCCTCTGACCAGCCCTGTAACCTTGGACCAGCCTCTCACCTCCCCAGGCTGCACGTTCCACATCTGTACCTAAAGGCCAGGGTTAGACAATCTCCAAGGTCTCACCAGAGCCAACAGGCCCTGACCAGAAGATGAAGCTTCATTTGCTCCTGTACCCACTGCCACTACCTTCTGAAGGGGATGGAGAAAGACTCCTGCAACTTTCTTGAAAGAGCCACAGGCAGTAATTTCATGAGCTGGGGGCTGAATTATCAGCCACCGTGGTGGGAACACAGCTTCCTATTTTGGCTCTACCAGATGTTAATTTCTCTTCCTTTCCCTTCCCTTCAACACCCTGAGTAACTCCTCTCCACCATACTGTGCATTAGGTACTACTTGGGGTTAACTAAGACTAAAACAAGGTCTCTGCCCTCTAAGAGCCTATACTATGGCAGAAGTGATAAGATCCACATCGAATTAGTACAAATATAACCGTGAATGTGATTAAGATCCTAAAACCACACAAACCCAAGTCTAGAAGGACTCACAGAAGACATACAGCGCCACCTCTAGAGACTTGAGATACGGCATGAAGATGCATAGAATTGTATAGCAATGATTTAGAAAGGGAACCCCCAGCATAGAAAATGGCAGGTGCAGAGATGGGAGTTTGGGGAGCTCCTAAGGAACTTCGGTTTAGTTGGACATATATCAGGTAGCAGGAAACAGGGCCAGGGGCGGGTTGGAGAAAGTTTTCAGAGAACCTAGAATGGTGATCTAAGAGTTTGATCTTTTATTTAACAGGGAGTGGGGAACCATGGTGGGTCTTTGAGCTTTAGTGGGAGTGAGCTGTCAGTCTATGAAGGATAGACTTTTGAGACACCAAGCAGAGAGCCTACTTGGGACACCGTTAGAACATTCCTGGCAAGAAAGTAAGAAACATGGTGCTGGTTGGGGGGGGTGGTGATGGGAAAAGATTGGCAGACAGTGAGGGAAGACTCACAGAAGGGCTGGAATTGGGAAGTGACAGTATGAGGAGATAAATGAGTGAAAGCTATCAAACCTTAACCAACAGTGTATGCCTAGGAAGCTAAAGAATGGCAGTGAGAAAGCAAGATATTGGAAGCCATCCCTTGTGGAGAAAAGGAAATGACTTCAGCCTTGGACTGTTGAGTCTTAAATACCAGCATCATCTTGAGGTAGAACAGGTAGGCAAAGATGGGGCAATGTGGGGCCACATAGGATGGAGTTTGGGCTGCAGACCTCCAGCTAAAGCTCCCAAGGTGTGGGAGTGACTAGGATCACTAGGGAAGAGTGTGTGGATGGAGAGTAGAGAGTGGAGGACAGGGCCTCCAGCATGTATGGAAGGAGAACAAAGAGAGAGAGAGAAGCAGCAGTTAGAATTAACTGAGAGCGCAATAGCAATTCCAAGAGCTCTTGTGATGGAAGTGGATGATGTGAGCTGTTGGCTTTGCCTTCAAAATATACCCAGGTTCTGACTTACCATTTTTGTCACTACCATCCTGGCTCAACCACTTCAGCTCTCCCCTAGATTACTGCAATACAGGCAAAACCCAGTTTATTGAGCTTCGCTTTATTGCGCTTCTCAGATACAGCGTTTTTTAACAAACCAAAGGTCTGTGGCAACCCTGCATGGAGCAAGTCTATTGGTGCTGAAGGCTCAGACGATGGTTAGCATTTTTTAGCAATAAAGTATTTTTTAATTAAGGTGTACACATTGTTTTTTTAGCCATAATGCTATTGCACACTTAATAGACTACAGTACAGTGTAAACATAACCATTATATGCACAGGGAAACAAAAATTCATGTGACTCACTTTATGGCAATATTTGCTTTATTGCAGGGGTCTGGAACCAAACCTGCAATATCTCTGAGGTATGCCTGTAGTCTCCTGTTTCCTGCTCTGCCCTTGTCCCTGTGGTAACCATTTAACGCCCACGAATTCCTCCCATTCCACTACACTCGCACCTTTGTGATGCGACTTTGCCACTTCTCCTACCCACAGGCAGAGTCTATTTCTCCACCCCTTTGTATTTGGGCTGGCCATGTGATTTGCTTTAACCAACAGCATGTGGCAGAACTGTGCTCGTGTGAATTCCAGATCTTATGCTTCAAGAGGCTTTGTGGCTTCCACCTTTGCTTCGCTCTCTTACAATGCTGCCCATCCACATAGGAAAGCTGGTCTCCCAGCATTAGAACCACATGGCAAAGAATTGGGGCTCACCACCAACAGCCAGCACCAGCCACCAAATGTGGGTGAGGCCATCTTGGACCTTCCAGCCCTGCTGACCTTCCAGGTGACAACTTTAGGAGTGAGCCCACATGGAACCAGCAGAGAAACTGCCCGGCCAATCCACAGAATCATGAGAAATTGTAAATCGTTGTTTGAAGCCACTAAGTTTGGGATTGTTTGTTATGCAGCAATCGATAGCTGATACACCCCATAAAATATATTCTTTGCATAACAGTGAGAGTACTCCTGTTAAAACACGTCAGATCTCCTCTACCCAGAACACTCCAGTGTTGTGTCATCTCACTCAGACAGAGTATAAGGTTCTCCCATTTCTCGTTACTCAGCCTTTGCTCACACCTCACCATCCTTGAGTATGCCCAGAAAGTCTTTGCCCTTGCTGTGCCCTCTCCCTGGAACACTTGCTCCAGTTATCTGCAGGGCTCCTTCCCTTACCACCTTCACATCTGTTTTCGCCTTCACTGACCACCCTATCTCAAATTGCAGACGACTCCTCCCAAGCCTCCTTTTCTCCCTCCCCAACTTTTCCCCATAGCGCTCACCATGAGCTGACACCCTAAACATTTTACTTTATCTGCCTTCTCTCACCAGCAATGTAAGGTCCATGAGGGCAGGGATTCAAGTCTGCTGTGTCTTTATCCCCATCATCTAGAAAAGTTCTGGCACACAGTAAACTCTCAATAAACATTTGTTGAATACGTGAATAAATAAATGAAGGAATGAACAGCTCACTAAGAAGATAATGCCCTGATGATGGCAGTGGAACAAGGTTCTGGAAGGAGTAGCTAGGAAGGAGTGTGCTGAGCCTCCTTCTTGCCCTTATAAATGAGTGAACTTGTGGGAAGAATGTCACCAGTAGAAAACCCTGTTTCTAATAGTTTCCTTCTGGAAAAAGGAATATGGAAATTCCCAAGCCACATTTATGGTATTTTTTTTCCACTGTAAGCAGACAGAAAGACACACACATGTAGGGAAAAAGATCTGGATCCTTAGCCTCTGCAATTCTGTTCTTTGCTACTGACTAGGGCTGAGGACTTACCACTCAATGGCACTGTCTCGGCTGGCATCATCTTTGCAGTCTGAATCCAGGAAGATGTCCTTGTAGATCCTCCCACACAGGCAGAACATGTCAGGGGCCGGGCGGTCACAGCTCTGCAGAACCTGGAGCATGACCTGCAGAGCCTTCCCACGGTCGCCTGCACTATTTCTCCTGAAAGATTCGTGTAACAAGATCATGAACATCTGAATCAGGACATGGGAGTATACGTGCATTCATTCCGTGAAGGGAGGGCATAAGGACACTGTGCTTTAGCAGGAAAAAAAAATCTAAATTATATTTCATTTTTCATATTCAAATACAACAACTGCTTAAGATCCACACCAATAAATCTCATACAGTCATACTCAAACCCTACTTGATCCCTTCTCTTTAATTTAGCCCTAGACTGAGGTTGAAAGCATATGCAGATCAATGGAAAGAGAGAAAAAGCCTCCTGCAGCTGGATGGAGTGCAAGAATTTCAGAAGCTAAGCCTGAATCAGGAGGATGAAACACTTTGACAAAAGGTTCTTTTGGAAAAGCGGCAGGGCCCCCATATTCAGAAAGCCAAGATGAACTCAAACGTATCCTGACATTCCCTGACCTGAAATGCCTTGTCATCTACAAATGGGAAAGGACCCTGGTAATTCCTGTTTTCCTATCTCATTATTATACCCCCCGGAACAAGAAATTCAGAAAATTACTTCTATGTTCACAAACCACAGTCTTCTCTATTATTAGATTATATGATAAAATTTTCATTTTATACATAGAAAATGGATTCCTTAGACAGTTGTTAAAATAATTTTTGCCACAAAATAACCTGAGCTTGTGGCTGTGAAATATGAAAAGTGTTCCTGGGAAGGTTTGAAAGCAAATGTCCATCAGTAGTGGGGACTGATTAAATCAGCTATAGTAATGATAGTCATAGTCATATCGTAACACAAAACATTAAACATTTATAAAAAGAAATGAAACAATTTCTATATAATACTGCTATGGAGAGATCTACAGAATATATTAAGACAAAAAAAGCAAGGTGTTGAATACTGTGCCCAGAATGCTACCTTTTTATTTAAGAAAAGGGAGGACGTGAATAAATATATGTACATGCTTTTATTTCTTCAAAATGGAAGGATAAACCAAAAGGTAAAAAAGTGGCTTCCAATAGGTGGAAGGAGAAAACATGAGGGAAGGGACAGGGATGGGGTGACACTTCTTGGAATTTGACTTTGAAGCTACGTAACTTTTTTACATAACGATAAAAGAAAATGAAATAATTTTTTCAAGTGTTCCCTAAAAACGCTGTTTGCCAATGAGCATATCATTTGAATTTGTGGCTGGGGCAAAACAAAACAAATGAACCTATGCATCTAGCTGACGGCTTACCCACAAAACAGAAACTAATTCACATGATTTTAAAACATGGTAATTTGACTGTAGTTTCCTAAAAGGATGTAACCTAAGGAAAAAAATAGAAATGCAAAGAAATCTTAAGTAGTTTCCAGTAAGCATATTGTTGGTGATAATATTAGTACTGGTATTTTGAAAATATTACATATTTATAGTATATAATACAACAAATAATGATATTAATATCATTAAGAACCAGATTTTTGAGGGTAAGAGACATAAATATAAAAATCAAAGAAGTTAAGTAAAAATCCTATAGTCCTAAATTTGAATTGCAACACCAGTATGAATTCACGGAGTGGTTTCCCTGCTCTGTCTACCGAAAAGGTCCAAAACAACAACCAACTCAGTAGCAATGAGGACCTCCAAGCCCTGATTGGGGTCTGTAAATATCATCTCTCGCTAAAAGGAACCAGGACTCTTTGGAGGAATGGCTGATCCCAGAAATGTCTAAAATGATCCTGGAACATCTTAACATACAAAGAAGTTACTAAGCTCATACCAAAAAGACTCAGGAGCCAACTTGAACCAGTTTTCTGGCTAAAGAAGGAAGGAACAATTTGAGCATCAAGAAGAATCATAACTATAAAGGACTGAAACATCAACTACGTTAAAATGATGAATTCATAATAATCTTATAAAACTTCACTGGTCACCTTTGGCAGATGCTAAGGAACCAAGTCATTGTTCTTGAAAACTGATCAAGGCAAAAATCAAGCATATGTCCTCCTTTTCCTATACAAACTGTACACCAGGGTAACCCAGTTGTCGATGAGGAGGAATTTCTCTTAAAAGTATTTGTGCTGCTAACTCAGGAAGTGATTATAGAATTCAAATATCACCATTTTACAAGCCCTAATGAAATAATGGACCTAAGCAATGATTGTGAAGGGCTGCTAGCACCACAAAGCGAGAGAGACCAGATCAAGTACACAATCAACCATTAAGTATTCTTTCCAAAAAACTGGCCAGAATCTGAAATAAGCCTCCAGATCTAACTACCAACTCGAAGGGGGAAAAGAGACAGAGAAACTCACTAAACCACACCACAGAGATATGATCAGCAAAATCCAGAATGGTGGAAAATCTACAGGACAAATGCTTCCTCAACAAATAAATAATAGGGGCAAGAGAAACTAAGAGGAGGGCAAACCCATACACCAAAAAAGACTTAAGAATCATATCAATCAAATGTACAGACCTTGTCTAGATCATGATTCAAACAAATCCACTGTGAAAAAAAAAATGAGACAATTGGGAAAGCTTGAAGACTGATATTAAAGAATTATTGTTAATTTTTATGTATGATAATATAATCATGATTATGTTTTACAAAAGTGTCCTTAACTTTTAGAGACACATACTGAAATATCTATGGATAAAGTGGTATGTCTTTGCTTCATAATAAATCCAGTGTTGAGATGAGAGGGAGTAGGTGGGGTGAGAGGGAAGCAAAACAGGCCATGTGATGCTAAGTACTGAAGTGGAGAAAGGGTACATGGGGGTTCATAATGGTACTCCCTACTTTTGAGTAGATTTGATATTTATATAATAAAAACAAAAAAGGAAAACGTACCCATCTTGACTCAACAATTCTACTTCTAGAGTCTATAATATAGCAACACTTATAAATATGTATTTAAAATCTTTTGAACAAACGTGTTGATTATGGCATTGTTCATAATAATGAAAAACTGGAGATGATCCAAATGTCCATTAACAGAAGAATGGTGAAACATATTTTCTAACAACCAAACTATGGAATATCATGCAATCCCTAGAAAAAGGCAGATCCACAGGTAATTGTATAGAAGAACCTTTATAACATTTCATGGAAAAAGATTGCTGAACTAAAAGAATAACACGATCCTATTTTTGCAACAACCACCATTTACTTATACATTTATGTGCCCAGACACAAGTCTGGAAGGATACATGTTAAACTGTTCCAAAAATCATTGCTGGGATTTATACAAGATGTTCCTATGTATATTTTACTAATAACTATTCTAAGAAATGAATAAAGAGATTATTCTTTTTAATTTCTTGGCAACAGGCTCTTTCTTGCTTTCTTTCCTGAGAGTCTGTACCTCAAACAGCTACTGCGTCATCCAAGAAAACAGATTAGTACCTAAAACAGCCTTTCTCAACTGGAGTTCTGTGAGAGAATTAAGCCCCAGAGAAAATTATTTGATTATTTGAATGATGAATTTTCCCAAGGATGGTACATAGCTAGCCCCATTCTGGATGCATAAGAGTTCACTCAATTGCTACAATGGATACCTTAGGGCCTTATTCTCTCGTGGAACCCAACTTGGGTTAAGGACTAATCTAGACACTTGACGTCCTTCTGGAAGCCTGCAATAATTAAGCCTGTACTTCAACTCTGACTTTTTCCAATTTGTACCTTGGTCTTGTTCTAATATATTCGATCTTTCCTCCTTTTCATATGGAATCCAATTTTACCAGCTTTCGAACCAGATCTCTTGACGAATAGCCCACCCATGACATTCTTTAATTTTTAAGAGCCAAAAGATATCAACTCAACTCAAATTTACTAAAGTATTTAAATAATTTCTAGAGTTTGTGGCGAGAAAGTGAAAAAGATTAAAACTTTAATGAGGAATAAAATTTCCACATCTTTCATGAGCCAACTTTTGAGGTGTGAAATATTCAGGACTTTGAAAAGAATGTACTTAACTCTGTTAAATGCTTAATTATTGATATGAGTTCAGGTTTGTTTGATTGGTTTTTTTTTTTTTTTTGGACCAGTTACATCAAGACTTCCCTTGAATTTTCTCATTAACTTAAAACATACCCTTGTTATTCAAAACAAAAGGCCTTTTGAGGATAAACAAAACAAAAAGTCAAACATTTGCAAAAAATGAAAAGCAAAGAGATTTTCAGCTTAAAAGCCACTTTAAGACAGGTGCTAATAGCTAATCCCTTTAGTGGTTAATAATCAGTTTTCAGATCTGCTTAGCATTTTCAGATCCCAAAGTATCCAAGAACAAGCCTATAGATAAAAACTCTTGTGTTTAATCAGTCCAGCAACATCTGTTTCTGACCATAAGGCCATTTCATAATTTCAGAGATGGAAATAACTAAGACAGTGGGGTCTCAACCTTGGCTGCACAGTAAAATCACCTGGGGAGCTTTAAAAACCTTGGTGTCCAGGCTGCCCTTCAGACCAATTAAATCAATCTCTGGAGATGGGATCCAGGCATCAGTGTCTCCTATCCCGGGCATTCAGATTCAGTAGGTATGCGTCATTGCTAAATCCGATCAATTCTCAGCCCTTGTCTTATCTGACCTAGCGGCAGCATTTAACAGTTGAGCACTCCTTCCTCCTTGGACTACCTTCCTCATTTGGCTTGCAGGACATCACACTTCCCTGGTTTTCGTTCTACTTTAATCTAATTTTCTGGTTCCTATTCATCTCCCTAATCTTTTTTTTTTTTTTTTTTTTTTTGAGGAAGACTAGCTCTGAGCTAACATCTGCCGCCAATCCTCCTCTTTTTGCTGAGGAAGACTGGCCCTGAGCTAACATCTGTGCCCATCTTCCTCTACTTTGTATGTGGGACGCCTATCACAGCATGGCATGCCAAGCGGTGCCATGTCTGCACCCGGGATCCGAACTGGCGAACCCCGGGCCGCCAAAGCAGAACATGCACACTTAACCGCTGCCACAGGGCCGACCCCCTCCCTAATCTTTTAACATTGGAATGTCCCTAGGCACAACCCTTGGACCTTTCCTCT